TCACAAACTTTTACAGATGCACAATTGAGAGCATCCTGTCGGGCTGTAACACCGCCTGGTACGGCAACTGCACCGCCCGCAACCGCAGGGCTCTCCAGAGTGTGGTGCGGTCTGCCCAACGCATCACCGGGGGCAAACTACCTGCCCTCCAGGACACCTACAGCACCCGATGTCACAGGAAGGCCAAAAAGATAATCAAGGACATCAACCCCCGAGCCAAGCCTGTTCACCACGCTATCATCCAGAAGGCGAGGTCAGTACAGTTACATCAAAGCTGGGACAGAGAGACTGAAAAACAGCTTAAATCTCAAGGCCATCAGACTGTTAAATAGCCATCACTAGCCGGCTTCCACCCGGTTACGCAACCCTGCACCTTAGAGGCTGCTGCCCTATATACATAGACTTAGAATCACTGGCCACTAATATGGAACACTAGTCACTTTAATAGTGTTTACATACTGCTTTACTCATCTCATATGTACAGTGGGGAGAACAAGTATTTGATACACTGCCGATTTTGCAGGTTTTCCTACTTACAAAGCATGTAGAGGTCTGTAATTTTTATCATAGGTACACTTCAACTGTGAGAGACAGAATCTAAAACAAACATCCAGAAAATCACATTGTATGATTTTTAAGTAATTAATTTGCATTTTATTGCATGACATAAGTATTTGATCACCTACCAACCAGTAAGAATTCCGGCTCTCACAGACCTGTTAGTTTTTCTTTAAGAAGCCCTCCTGTTCTCCACTCATTACCTGTATTAACTGCACCTGTTTGAACTCGTTACCTGTATAAAAGACACCTGTCCACACACTCAATCAAACAGACTCCAACCTCTCCACAATGGCCAAGACCAGAGAGCAGTGTAAGGACATCAGGGATAAAATTGTAGACCTGCACAAGGCTGGGATGGGCTACAGGACAATAGGCAAGCAGCTTGGTGAGAAGGCAACAACTGTTGGCGCAATTATTAGAAAATGGAAGAAGATCAAGATGACGTCAATCACCCTCGGTTTGGGGCTCCATGCAAGATCTCACCTCGTGGGGCATCAATGATCATGAGGAAGGTGAGGGATCAGCCCAGAACTACACAGCAGGACCTGGTCAATGACCTGAAGAGAGCTGGGACCACAGTCTCAAAGAAAACCTTTAGTAACACACTATGCCGTCATGGATTAAAATCCTGCAGCACACGCAAGGTCCCCCTGCTCAAGCCAGCGCATGTCCAGGCCCGTCTGAAGTTTGCCAATGACCATCTGGATGATCCAGAGGAGGAATGGGAGAAGGTCATGTGGTCTGATGAGACAAACATTTAGCTTTTTGGTCTAAACTCCACTCGCCGTGTTTGGAGGAAGAAGAAGGATGACTACAACCCCAAGAACACCATCCCAACCGTGAAGCATGGAGGTGGAAACATCATTCTTTGGGGATGCTTTTCTGCAAAGGGGACAGGACGACTGCACCGTATTGAGGGGAGGATGGATGGGGCCATGTATCGCGAGATCTTGGCCAACAACCTCCTTCCCTCAGTAAGAGCATTAAAGATGGGTCGTGGCTGGGTCTTCCAGCATGACAACGACCTGAAACACACAGCCAGGGCAACTAAGGAGTGGCTCCGTAAGAAGCATCTCAAGGTCTTGGAGTGGCCTAGCCAGTCTCCAGACCTGAACCCAATAGAACATCTTTGGAGGGAGCTGAAAGTCCTTATTGCCCAGCGACAGCCCCGAAACCTGAAGGATCTGTAGAAGGTCTGTATGAAGGAGTGGGCCAAAATCCCTGCTGCAGTGTGTGCAAACCTGGTCAAGACCTACAGGAAACGTATGATCTCTGTAATTGCAAACAAAGGTTTCTGTACCAAATATTAAGTTCTGCTTTTCTGATGTATCAAATACTTATGTCATGCAATAAAATGCAAATTAATTACTTAAAAATCATACAATGTGATTTTCTGGATGTTTGTTTTAGATTCTGTCTCTCACAGTTGAAGTGTACCTATGATAAAAATTACAGACCTCTACATGCTTTGTAAGTAGGAAAACCTGCAAAATCGGCAGTGTATCAAATACTTGTTCTTCTTCTCTTCTACTGTATTCAATTCTACTGTATTTTAGTCAATGCCACTCCGACATTGCTCGTCCTAATATTTATATATTTCTTAATTCCATTCTTTTGCTTTTAGATTTGTGTGTTGTTGTGAATTGTTAGATACTACTGCACTGTTGGAGCGAGAAACACAAGCATTTCGCTTCACCCGCAATAACATCTGCTAAATATGTGTATGTGACCAATAAAATGTGATTTGATTTGATTTGTTCAAATGTCTCCCATTCGGGCTGTGTAATACTCAAGGTATTTATTTACCAATCCCAGCACAATATAATGAGTTAATGTTATTGATACCTAACCCTCTCTGTCTGATCCTGCTGATCAAAGCCTGTGAATGTGTATAGCAGCAATACTTTGCTCTTCATAGCAATAATAGTTCCTTCAGATGATTCATAGAGGATATTGTCTGTGTCTGCGTCTGCTCTGTTTTGAAGTGGATTGAATGTCTTGCCTCTAGATGGATTGCTCTCTCTAGTTCTCTCAATAGAGGCCAGGTTAAATGAATATGTCTCACCATGCTGTCATATTCCCTGCCCTTTAAGACTCACATCGAATACCTTCCCGGCACATACTTTTCACTGCTATAAGAGGAGAGAAATGCACGCAGATCTGTATATGTATCACATTATTTTCACAGTGTAAGTGTGTTGAACCAGTAGTTTTAGAGAAATCTAAACAGTGCCTTTGGCAGGGGGGCTGTGCTGCTCATCTGTTGCTGCTGTAAGCCTTGAATCTTTTTTCTCGCTCCCTTGACTTGCTCCTGGGAGATATTGTAGCAACAGAATGTACACACCAAATATCAGCTCCTGTGGATCAGCTACTAGCTGCCCCTCAGGCACGGGATCTTGGCCCTGCTTATTTTGATGAATGAATTATTAATGGCTCACTGATTTTCCTCAATTCCAGCTCCATTTTTCAACAGGCTCAGTGCATAGCCTATTGCAAAAGGATTGTTGTCGCATTGGCTATTTCCTCTTTTCTCCTTCCACAGCTAAAAGGAGCAGTTTACACAGGAAATTTTCCCCTCTCACTGGCAATTGGATGGGAAGAAAGAAAGTCTTTGACCTTGGAAAATGAAAATGTTGTTGCCATGGGAACTGTTAATCCTTCTGTCACTCACGGACTGCCTTGCTGGTAAGATGTCCCCCAAGTTGCCTTTGATACCACACCTGATCTGCATACTCCCCTCTTTATGCATGGTCTGTTTTATCATTTCCTTATCTCTTCAAAGAGTATCATGCCATTCTCACCCAGAATGCATGCTGTTAGGGGGTTACCTCATCATTTGATCTATATCACCGCAAAGGATTATGTGTCAAACTTTACCAAACTTGGAGTGAAAGTTGTAGGGTTTGTGATTAACTCAGAACACAATGGTTTCCATGGTGCTAATCTATGTTGTATTTCTCATTCATATGTCTCGCTTTATGCTCATCTCCATGGCAATAACACTTCCTTAGCTTCTTAGCCAAACCACTCAACACACACCTGGAAGGTCCCAATTACTAACCTGAATTCTGTTTCCATACACCGGAGTGACCTTGGAGAGGCAGAGATCTGGAGTGTCAATATAACAGAGTATCTCCCACACTGTTATATCTGGGTATTATGAATCTACAGAACGGAGAGGGATTTAAAGTTGACAGGCCTGGCTGACAGATTTAAATGGAAGTCAAGCCGAATATTTACAAGTCATCAGACAAATGTATTTAAATGTATACAGTATATGGAGTAGGTGGCTATTGTGTTATCTATGCTTCCATTTCCATTGAGTTAGCATTTTATCTTAAGTCAGCACTTTCTCAGGGACACATACAGATGAAGGCAGCCTGGAAAAGAAAACTGACAACGAGGAGGAGGGAACAGAATGTGGAGATGTCAAAGACGTCTACTTTGTGCGAGTTGATGTATTTTCCTCATCATTGAGCTTGCATTTACATAAATACATATATAATTGATATTCAGTGTGCATGTGTAGTTTGATGGCAAGAGAAGGGTGACTGCTAGCTAGGGTGAGCTCTCTCAAAATTACACGAAGCACAAGCATTTCCCAGGTTGAATAGGCCAGCTATAAAAGGTTCATTCATTTATTTCATTTAAAGGACAGAGATATGAAGCTCCTCCCTTGGAGGCTGAGAAAGGAAAGGAGGCCCTCACCTCAGGCAAAGCTTCTCCCCCACACTCTCATTAGCATGATGATGATGCTGGAGGGAGTACTTCTCTTTGTCCTAGTCGTCAAGGTTAGGTACCTGTAAAAAATAATCTGATATCCTTCATATGAAAGGAAAAAACAGATGATTTTCAAAGGGGACATTAGAACTTAGACTGTAGCTGTAGTGAGCCACCAACAGGATACTGTAGCCTACTGTGTGTCAGAACAGAGAAGACGATTAGTTCTGACGGAGGGGGGTTTACCCATTAAGGGAATGATAGCTGCATTTCAGTGGAGTTATTTAGAGTAACATGGGGTAATTACTCTGGTGTATTGGTAAGTTGGCAGCAGTTTACCAAAACAACAGACCTGACTGAGCTGCCATACGTGTCATGGGTGTGCCAACAGACTGTACGTTAGTTGGAATTCAAATGGAAAGAAGGAAAATAGAGTAGAAGATGTCCCTGGACTTCCTGTATGACTTGTCCGTGTGCACTGTAAATTGCAGTGTCCTAGTATGCATGCAGAGCTACAGGGTGTAGGGAATATGATCAGTTAATTGGCCTCTAATTGTTAGTGTAGTATTTGTCCTCTCTCATGTCAACACTGTAGCTAGGCTATTATTGTAGCCTAAGACTACTGTACGTATAATATAACGGGTTGTTACATAATTGGGTATAGGTTCACACAACTTATCATTTGTCCTCAGTAATTGTCCTGTCTTTCACCTTTCAGACATAGTTGTCAGCAGCAAGGTATAACTAAAGCGGTTGTGTTCTTTCACTCAGAGAGAAACACCCGCCATGGGCCCGTCTTCACTCAAGAACCAAGTGACAGCATTTTCCCCTTGAGATCTGAGGACAACAAGGTGTTCATCAATTGTAAAGCAAAGGGAAACCCAGACCCGCATTATAAGTAGGCGCTTGTCCCTTAAACTCTTTAACTTTTCATACCTTTCCTCTTGTCACTATTTTAATTTAGAATAATATTTTGTCCTGTGGCCATGATGGTTTATACTGTCTGATAGTGATGAATAGTCATTGTGTTTATGTGTGTTGCTCTACAGATGGAAGGTTGATGGGAGAGATATTCACATGGATTTGAACTACAACCTGGTTGAAGGAAACCTGTTGATCAATACCCCCCATGCAACACATCATGGGGGTGTTTACCAGTGTATTGCTACCAATGCCTTTGGAACCATCGTCAGCAGGGAGGCCAAGGTTCAGTTTGCATGTGAGTAGATTTGGACTTCTATCTAATACAAAGGAACAACAAAACACTGCCATTTCAGACATTTATCTAAACACAATTCATTTTCAAGTGTATTTTTAGAGACATATGTCTTAGAGACACATTCAGTTTTTCTTGTCATGACACATCGAGTGAAGACGTGATTTGCTACGATTTAACGCACGATTAAGTACAGCATAAGCAAATCATTCAGGTTAGGAACCCCAAAAGGGTTTTTCCTCTCATTCTGGAAGCATGTTTTAATTTGAGAAGAGCTGTTACTGGGGGTAATTGCCGTGTTGACATGCACTAAGCCTGCAGCTCCATTAGTGATTAGTGTAAGTCTGAATCTTAGAATGGTTTTAACACTGGCTTAATGTTACACCCTGACTAAATCACATCATCTGGAGCATTTCAACAACAGATGGGCACTTTTTCTCTCTCCCTCTCACTCAAATGCACTGTGAAATTCACTCCCTCTATAGATTGTGAAAAGATAAACATAATTCCAGACTAAAGTTATCCTATGAATCCATCAACACATTTATTTACATCTCTGGAGATAATACCAAGACTAACCCAGTTGTAATGGTCCACCTAAGGGATATGCCTTGGTAGACCTGGTTGGGTGTTCATGTGTCAATAGAACATTGCTTTATGTTGTTTCATTTTACAATGCAGGTTTACTGACAGGCTCAGCTAATTAACCAATCCAAACCAATCCCACATTACATTAGGGAAGTTATAACCGAACTCAGGGGGTAGGGGGTTGTATTTTTCATGCAGGAAGTGCTCATACTTGATATTTTCATTTAAATGGTGATAAGCCTTCGGATGAGATGAGACTTTATTATTGTTGATATTTGCCTGCCCCCTCTTGGGATTTGAATGATATTTCTGAAGGTTTGTGGTCCCTAGTGCTGTCTATTTTTCCTTATAATGCAGCAGCATATAATGAAAAGTGAAAATGATCTGTAAACCCAGTTTAGAGAGAGGTATTTATGTCTCTCCCTGTTCACACATATCACTGGTGGTATTAACAGGGAAGTAAAGTAAATGAGGTATAAGCAATGTGCATAGAGAGGAACACGGTCTTCAAAATTAAAATGCCCTCTCTAAATTCTCACTGCACTGTAGAGGGGGTTCAACTATAGACATCTGAAAGTGATCAAAGCCCCTTTGTCTTTACCTCCCCACAGATCTGCAGAACTTCAGCAGAAAGCCCAGGAACACAGTGTCAGTGAGAGAAGGCCAGGCTGTGGTGCTACTGTGTGGCCCTCCACCCCATAACGGAGGTACCACACTCTTAGAAAAAAAGGTGCTATCTAGAACCTGAAAGGATTCTTTGGCTGTCCCCATAGGAGAACCCTTTGAAGAAGCCTTTTTGGTTCTAGGTAGAGCCTTTTTGGGTTCCATGTAGAACCCTTTCCATGGATGGTTCTACATGGAACCCAAAAGGGTTCTACCTAGAACCAAAAAGGGTTCTATCTGGAACCAAAAAGGGTGCTCCTATGGGGACAGCTGAAAAACCCTTTTGGAACCCTTTTTTCTAAGAGTGTTTAACACTTTGCATCCTCAACCCTTACAGATTCTATGCTGCTTCACTCTCACTCACGCCCCAGCTATCTTATGGTTCTTCACTCTCATACCCACTTTCTTTCCCCAACACTGCTGCACGTCTTTGCTCTCATATCTACTATTTCTTCTCACTTCTTGTCTTTCATATTCTGCTCTCTCTCTCTTCCTTTTATGATCATTCCTACTGGACTGTAGCAGGATCACTCATCTTCCTGAACTCTCCCCAAACTCCAAATGCCTTTACATCCTCAGTTCATACCCTCACACTTCATGGCCTCAAGCTCACTTTTTCCCAATGTGACCCGCTACCATGCTGTCATTTGTAAAGCCTCCGGCGCTCCACTTCCTTCCATAGCGTCAGGTTTTTTCAGTGTAGACTGGGTATCTGTGGGTAATAAAGGCTCCTGGTGGCTGGTGTGTCGGGGGGGGGGGGGGGGATCGTTTATCCCGTGGCACAGCTGTGAGTCTGTTCCGTGTCTGTGTGCTGCTGATTAGCAGACCCTCAAAGTGCCCCGCACTCCTGAAGCCATTCCGCACCACTACCACAATTTCACGCCAGCGCACCAGCATTTCTCCACTCTCTGTTTCCAACTGAATCAATGGCCACAAGGGATTCAAACCGTACCTTTTCACAATCTGTCCTCCTTTTCCCCAAAATGCCTTCATCTCTTTATTTTATATTTTCCAGTTTTTCTTCCAGATAGACATTTGATGGGATTGTGTTTCACAATGCCGCTGTCTCCAGGTGGATGTCAAAGGAAGGGCATAAATGCTTGAATTGGAGAACAATGCTGTGGATTTTATATCCAAGCAAACATGTTTGTTTTCTGCCATAACCTGCAGTAATGTCAAACCAATTTAGTGCAAGTTAATGCTTATACAGAAATACACAGAGCCATATAAATAGGAGATACATGTTATTTGAAGCAACTTTGAGCCATCAGTAGTAGGTGTTCTAAAATGGTCTGTGTTCAGTGTTAAATTCTGCGAGTCCTCTGTTGCTGTGAGACCAAAACCCTTCAGCAGAACCACTCCATAATACTCTCTAATCATGAAAGGTCTGTCACTCTGCCCTGACTTTCACTATGATCCTTTTTAATTCACTGTTTCCCTGAAGGAAGCAATATGATGTTTTACTGTCTGCCCAGTCAAAAGACTGACTGCAGGATGTAATGTGTTTCTGATCAGAGGGGCTCTAACACCCCAGCCCATCCTACCCTCCCTGTCCCCTAAGAAGCTCTTAATTTGACATTGATGTCTCCAGATCCCGCTGCTCCATGCCCCCCCCCCCCCCCCCACCCCCCCTCCCCTGTCTCTCTTTCACTCTCTCTCTCATTAAAGGGAGGCCGAGTCTAAAGGCTGTCAGGACAAAAAGGACCCAGCCTAGATTACGATAATGTTTTTGAACTTATAAATTACTCCACTGTCTGTGTGATCGGCACAAGCCTGTGGCACTGACCCTTAATACGTGTGGGAGGAGGTTGCTATCTGGGCTAACTGAAAATGGAATTCAATAGTGTATCCAAATCTCTGCTTACTCTCTGAAATGCTTGGAGATGTGAAAAGAGCAAGGTTCAGCCATGTTAAGCTGTTGAGCTAAAAATCATAACATTATTGAATGATGCATTATTAAATTATAAACTGTTTGAAATACTGCTGTTGAGTATGTCGATGGCAACAGTACTCACAGACTAGAATGTCATGACTGTCATGGATGTGCTACCATCTGTTTAGTGTAACTGCTTTGTGAACTGCCCCCTGCACATATCTGGCATGGGAAATGGCAAAGTCTTATCACACTGTCTAAATGCAATGTTAATAGATATTATAAGATGCAACTACTGTATGTCTCCACCCTTTTTATAGCTACAGTACAGGTACAAGAATCTAACCTAATCTATTGTCTATTCTTAGTTTCACCACACTGGCAGATTTTATAATGTCATTGGCACAAGTATCTCTTCCTTTGTCAATACCCACGATCCTCTGTGGTCGCTGCTGTCTGTGCTCTTCCTCTGCAGAGATCAAATACTCGTGGGTTTTCAACGGACGCCCAAGTTTCCTGCTGCAGGATACCCGCCGCTTTATCTCCCAGAGGACTGGCAACCTGTACATTGCCAAGGTGGAGGCCTCCGATGTGGGGAACTACACGTGTGTGGTGAGGAACATGATGACCAACGCCACCGTGTACAGCTCACCCACCCCTGTGGTGCTGCGCAGGGACGGTGAGCATGCTCCACTGCCTTCACTAGCTCCACTGGCTACTGCTTATCCTGCATGCTGAACTTGCCTGTACCGTTGAGGGGTGTGAAAGCTAAGGAGATAAATCAGTCATCTTGAGCGTGACAGTGTTTGTTTAGCTGCTGCTCGGGAGCAGGAGCGGGGTTGTGCAGTATTCACACTACAGAGCTGTAGGTCTGATACCGCATTCAAAACAACTGGGAACTCAGAAAAATACGAGGTCAAATCATGACGCCAGTGATCTTCAGGTCGGAAAGTTGGAGCTCTAGAAAGAGGCCCGTGTTGGCTGACCGTTGAAAGCGATTTTTCCCAGTCGGAGCTAGTTTTTTTCAGAGTTCTCAGTTGTTTTGAACGCACTGAAGTCGGAAGTCTGAGATTTACGAGTTCCCAGTTCCCAGTTGTTTTGAACGCGGCATGAAAAGTAATCCCTCCCTCTGCATGAAAATACATGTTTACGCATTTACATATCCAGAACTGTAGAGTACATAGACACACACAGAAACACATACATGCACATGCACACAAACACGTTTCTGCACAGGGAGATTCACCTCACCAACCCCATTACTACTGAATATACAGCGTGTGCCACTTAAGATTTGAGCTGGAGCAGAGATGTTATAAAGCATATGTTGTAAAGCATATTAACACGCAGGCTTGGCCTTTACCAACCTGCTCTGTGCCACAGTTCTGGCATTTAATTTGAATTATAGAACGCAACGTTCATTTTGTGTTTGAATTAATGTGATGTTCTTTCACCTCACACAGCTGTAATGGGAGAGTATGAGCCAAAGATCGAAGTTCAGTTCCCCGAAACTCTTCATGTCACCAAAGGATCATCAGTGAAACTGGAATGTTTTGCCTTAGGAAAGTAGGTCTCAAATCAAATCAAATTTAATTTGTCACATGTGGCGAATACAACGGGTGTAGACTTAACCGTGAAATGCTTGCTTAGGAGCCCTTCCCAACGATGCAGAGTTTTAAAAAATGGTCAGAAAAAGAACAATTGTAACACAAGATGAATAAAATACACAAGAATGGAGCTATGTACAGGGAGTACAAGTACCAGATCACTGTGAAGAGGTACGAGGTATTTGAGGTAGAAATGTACATGAAGGCAGGATAAAGTGACTAGGTATCAGAATAGATAAGAGTAAAATAAAGAATAGAGTAGCAGCAGCAAATGATGACTGTGTATGTGTGTGTGTGTTATGTGTGTGTGCGTATGTAGTGTATGTGAATGTGTGTGAGTGTGTATATAGTGTGTATACTGAGTGTACAAAACATCAATGACACCTGCTCTTTCCATGGCATAGACTAACCATGTGAATCGAGGTGAAAGCGATGATCCCTTATTGATGTCACTTGTTAAATCCACTTCAATCATTGTAGATGAAGGGGAGGAGACATGTTAAAGAAGGATTTTTAAGCCTTGAGACAATTGAGACATGGATTGTGTATGTGCCATTCAGAGGGAGAATGGGCAAGACAAAATATTTAAGTGCCTTTGAACAGGGTCTGGTAGTAGGTGCCAGATGCATCGGTTTGAGTGTGTCAGGAACTGCAACGCTGCTGGGTTTTTCAAGCTCAATAGTTTCCCGTGTGTATCAAGAATGGTCCACCACCCAAAGGATATCCTCCAGACAACTTGACACAACTGTGGGAAGCATTGGAGTCAACAATTGCCAGCATCCTTGTGGGATGCTTTCGACACCTTGTAGAGTCCATGCCCCAATAAATTGAGGCTGTTTTGAGGGCAAAAGGTGGTGGGGGGGGGGTGTCCTTAATGTTTTGTACACTCAGTGTATAGTCTTGTGAGTGTGCATAGAGTCAGTGCAAGATAGCGTTAGTGCAGATAGTTCGGGTAACCATTAATCAACTGCGATCATTAGCAAGCACACTGTAGCAGCGTCACATAGTCATTGCATATGGAATTTCATATTCTGAGAATGTACTGTATTAGTCATTGGCCAGACATCTCCCATGGCACACAACAATATTAGATATCTATGTCTGGCAACTAATGTATTAATAATAAGTGTCAGTATGAAGCATGTGGCTCTGGTGACCTTTCCTGCCTGACCTCGCCAGCCCAGTGCCTTCCATCACATGGAGGAGAACAGATGGGAATCCCCTCCCTGGCAAGATCAAAATCAATCATTCCAACGGGGTCCTGGAAATACCATATTTCAGACTGGAGGATGCTGGTGTATATGAGTGTGTTGCAGAGAACTCCAGAGGAAAGAACATTGCCAAAGGACAACTCATATTCCAGAGTATGATCACTCACAACATATATAGATGAACAGTTGTATGTTGCTTTTGTGATACAGTTGAAGTCAGAAGTTTACATACACTTAGGTTGGAGTCATTAAAACTCGTTTTTCAACCACTCCACAAATGTCTTGTTAACAAACTATAGTTTTGGCAAGTCGGTTAGGACATCTACTTTGTGCATGACACAAGTAATTTTTCCAACAATTGTTTACAGACAGATTATTTCACTTATAATTCACTGTATCACAATTCCAGTGGGTCAGAAGTTTACATACACTAAGTTGACTGTGCCTTTAAACAGCTTGGAAAATTCCAGAAAATGATGTCATGGCTTTAGAAGCTTCTGATAGGCTAATTGACATCATTTGAGTCAATTGGAGGTGTACCTGTGGATGTATTTCAAGGACTACCTTCAAACTCAGTGCCTCTTTGCTTGACATCATGGGAAAATCAAAAGAAATCAGCCAAGACCTCAGAAGAAATGTTGTAGACCTCCACAAGTCTGGTTCATCCTTGGGAGCAATTTCCAAACGCCTGAAGGTACCACGTTCATCTGTACAAACAATAGTACGCAAGTATAAACACCATGGGACCATGCAGCCATCATACCGCTCAGGAAGGTCTCCTAGAGATGAACGTACTTTGGTGCGAAAAGTACAAATCTATCCCAGAACAACAGCAAAGGACCTTGTGAAGATGCTGGAGGAAACAGGTACAAAAGTATCTATATCCACAATAGAACGAGTCCTATATCAACATAACCTGAAAGGCCGCTCAGCAAGGAAGAAGCCACTGCTCCAAAACCGCCATAAAAAAGCCAGACTACGGTTTGCAACTGCACATGGGGACAAAGATCGTACTTTTTGGAGAAATGTCCTCTGGTCTGATTAAATAAAAATAGAACTGTTTGGCCATAATGACCATTGTTATGTTTTGGATGAAAAAGGGGAACGCTTGCAAGCCGAATAACACCATCCCAACCGTGAAGCATGGGAGTGGCAGCATCATGCTGTGGGGGTGCTTTGCTGCAGGAGGGACCGGTGCACTTCACAAAATAGATGGCATCATGAGGAAGGAAAATTATGTGGATATATTGAAGCAACATCTCAAGACATCAGTCAGGAAGTTAAAGCTTGGTCGCAAATGGGTCTTTCAAATGGACAATGACCCCAAGCATACTTCCAAAGTTGTGGCAAAATGGCTTAAGGACAACAAAGTCAAGGTATTGGAGTGGCCATCACAAAACCTCAATCCTATAGAAAAGTTGTGGGCAGAACTGAAAAAGCGTGTGCGAGCAAGTTGGCCTACAAACCTGACTCAGTTACACCAGCTCTGTCAGGAGGAATGGGCCAAAATTCACCCAACTTATTGTGGGAAGCTTGTGGAAGGCTACCTGAAACGTTTGACCCAAGTTAAACAATTTACAGGCAATGCTACCAAATACTAATTGAGTGTATGTAAACTGCTGACCCACTGGGAATGTGATGAAAGAAATAAAAGCTGAAATAAATCATTCTCTCTACTATTATTCTGACATTTTACATTCTTAAAATAAAGCGGTGATCCTAACTGACCTAAGACAGGGAATTTTTACTAGGATTAAATGTCAGGAATTGTGAAAAACTGGGTTTAAATGTATTTGGCTAAGGTGTATGTAAACTTCCGACTTCAACTGCAGGTGATAATGATTTTAACTGTACATAAGCATACAGGATTTCCTCATTTTATTTCCCATGCTTGTAGATGCTTATTTGTGTAATAATGAAACAATTCAAAAACTATAATTGGGTTTTCAACATTAAATTCCTAAATAGAACTAATAATAACTAACAATTCCTTGAATGGTAATGGGCTTATCTGTCTTTTGTCAACGTTTAGCTAAAAAAGTCTAATTAACATTTAGGGGCCATAAATTATGGATACATTATGGTCATAAGTCAGGCCTGAAAAACCTTTTGCTCACATTATAATGACAAGATAATCTGGAATTAATTTGTACCAATTAACCTTTCTGTTTAGTCATTCTGAAGTAGCTAAGCTGTTGTCTTGCCAACTTGAATACTGCCAATAGCCAGTTGGTCCTTAGAGAAAAATACAAATGGCATCCCAAGCTTAGGGCAGCTTCCAGCTCTGCCATAGTGCTATTGTTTGTGCCATTATTTATTTTAGGACGACTTAGGCCAATAAAGACCTGTTTTGCATTGGAACTGTCAATATAAAGGCTGACATTTTGTCACTAAATCGTGTTCTTTATTCTCCAGGTGTTGAACATCTGCACTGGGTCCAGACGTTGAAAGATGCTCAGATGGCCATCGAGGCTAATCTCCAGTGGGAGTGCAGGGCGAGCGGTAAGCCTAAGCCTGTGTACAGATGGCTGAAGAATGGGGAGCCCTTGGTGCTGGAGGTGAGAATGACTTGCTAACATTGTACTTAGCATTTTTATGTGTCATTGTCATATTCCATTAAGAACTATTCTACCCATCTTAAGACCCCTTTTTCATCTCAGATCAAAGACATGAGATCAAACATTAAGCCGGTTTTCATTTCAAAAGTCTACCCATCACAAGGTTTGCTGCAAAGGTCACACTATCATAAGATAGATGATATCCAAATTACACTGCAGAAAAATCCTGATTGACATTTGTTTCTGCTAAATCTACATGACCAAAATATAAAAATTCTTGTTGACAGTTTGTGTGAACATTTGTATTGTTCAGATACTGATCTTCCTAGGTTATACATTTATAAAAGTATCAATTTATATGTTGAGTTTTATCACACATCACATACTAAGGTGTGATATTGAGGATGTATCGCTCTTGTCACCAGGACAGGATACTGGTAGAAGGTGGACGATTGGCCGTATCCAGGATCAACCTGTTGGACTCTGGGATGTACCAGTGTCTGGCAGAGAATGAACATGGAGCCATATATGCCAGCGCTGAACTCAAGGTTGTAGGTAAGCATGTCTGGAGGACTCTAGTCTGGAGTATTTGTTCTGTCTTGTTTAGAAAGTTGAAGTCAGAGACACCGCAAGGTCAAGACATTTGTGTAGTATCACTGTCAGTAGGCAGAACCAACTCCAGAAGAAAATTAACAGAACCAGTGAATATTAGCTGAGCCATGGTTTTAGCTACATTTACATATTTACTTGATAAAGAAAGCCAACCAGTGGTTTTTCATGAAATACAATTTATATAATTAACTAGGATGATTTTGACAGTTTGGCTAATGCATACAGTACATGCGATAGCTAGCTGATGTGCCTCGTCAAAGAGAACAGAAGGGTAGCAACAGGGTTTGTTCTGTTCCCCATGCAGCCTCTTCACCCGACTTCTCCAACAGTCCTGTGAAGAAGTCCATGCTGATCCAGAGAGGGGGGGAGGTGATCATGGAGTGCCGTCCCCATGCGTCCCCTAGGGCCTCTATCTCCTGGCGGAGAGGGGGAGAGTTTCTGAAGGACAGCAAGAGGTACAGTAACAGTCGTAGTAACCGTACGCATCACTGCTCATGCCATTGATGGCACGTGTAAAAGGGCCCTTCTCCTGGGGCCGTGCTAGTCTCTAGGACTCAACGCTATGTCTCTACTTAAGGGGACTGACGTTGCTGTGGTGAGGGGGCTTTTTGCTAACACCCTCTCTTTTGCTTGAAGTTCAATAGAGATGTCAAAGACCTTGCCTTTATCGCTCTCTGTATGTCTCTGCATTCAGGGTTGTTCTGTACAACACCATGACAGTTATGGTAGGGGCTTTATGTTGATTATGACCTTGGTCTTTCAATGTTGTATTCAGCAGTGGCTATAGATGCTTCCTTGTAACCGCTCATGCAAGCCTCACAGCTACACAGGTTCACAGCTCACAAGTTAATTTGAGGTACTGGTCATAGCCCCAGAAGGGTTGTGTGGACAGTGTCACTGCTGCATGGCCCTGCAGCTGAAGATACGCTAACCTAATGTCAATTACTGTACTGTATGTGGCCCTGCAGTCGTCTGGGAGAAAGGCTCCGCCAAGAGTACGCTGTGGACCAATGGCTGGAGCAGGCCTCTACAGCCCTGTTCCTGGAGAGCTACCGTCCTGTAGGTTTTCGCTCCAACCCTAATCTAGCGCACCTGATTGTAGGAATTAGCTGGTTGATAAGCTGAGCCAGGTTAGTTGCAACTGGGTTTGAAGTGAGGACCTGCAGGAGGGTAGCTCTCCAGGAACAGGGTTGGAGAGGGCTGGAGAATAATACACTGAGTATACAAAACATCAAGAACACCTGCTCTTTCCATGACATAGACTGACCAGGTGAATTCAGGTGAAAGCTATGATCCCTTAATTGATGTCACTTGTTCAATCCACTTCAATCAGTGTAGATGAAGGGGAGGAGACAGATTGAAGAAGGATTTTTAAGCCTTGAGACAATTGAGACATGGATTGTGTATGTGTGCCATTCAGAGGGTGAATGGGCAAGACAAAATATTTTAAGTGCCTTTGAACGGGATATGGTAGTAGGTGCCAGGCGCACCAGTTTGTGTCAAGAACTGCAACGCTGCTGGATTTTTCACGCTCAACAGTTTCCTGTGTGTATCAAGAATAGTCCACCACCCAAAGGACATCCAGCTAACTTTACACAACTGTGGGAAGCATTGGAATCAACATGGGCCAGCATCCCTGTGGAACGCTTTCGACAACTTGTAGAGTCCATGTCCCCGACGAATTGAGGCTGTTCTGCGTGCAACTCAATATTAGGAAGGTGTTCTTAATGTTTGGTATACTCAGTGTATGTCCAGTATACTACCGCCTACCCATGTTATGATTTACTCTCTAATCTCAGTCAGCCGCTATACAGTAGCTTCTGTATGTGTGTGTGTGTGTGTTCGTTTGTGTGTTCGTTTGTGTGTGCGTGTGTGTGTGAGTGAGGGTGAGTGGGTGTGAGTTAGTGGTTGAGAGAAGGAGAGGGGGAAAAGGTGAGAGCTTATTATCACCAGCAGTATTCTGTTTAGTGTACTCCTCTCACACCCTGGAATATACTCCCTCCAATTCTGCATCTTTAATTTGGGTGGTGTGGTTGAGTCAGACAGATTGTGAACAGGAGCCTTGGTGATACTGCTATGTTATTCTCCTTAGTGTCCTGCTTTAGGGCTGTGGCCCGAATCAATATGTGCTGCCACATTTCCATAGTATTTCCGTAACTCAGTGGACCTGCCTCAACATGTGAGCAGAGCGATTGATTAGTTACTGTATCATATTCCACGGAGCGGTCATGGGGAAAAGGAGAAAGAAGTGATTACACAGGCTGTGCATCTGGACGAGAATAGAAAATGCACGGCGTGGAACGGCGTTTCTTTCTTAAAGCAGATAGTTATTTACGTTTGTATTTGTTTTGCAGCTCATTGCCCCTCAGGTCATGTTCTCAGCGCGCCTCCATCACTCAATGTTTGATATTTTTGTCAATAAATCAGCGCAAAGCACCCTGTGTCAGACATGCTCTCTGGGTCTCAGCTCAGCTGGAGTGAATACATATTTATTTTTAAGAGCTGCAGTGAAATTGTTTGATTTCTGAGCTTGCAGCTCACAGCCTTTGTGTTTGATTTGCTGAAACAGAAGGTCATGATAGCTAGGAGTTCTCAGCATCATTTATGCATGTGTTTACATTTTGTTAGATTAGAAAATAACGTAGAAGCATTAGACACCCCGTGGCCTCTGGTGTTTGTGGAATATGGCAAACAATGAATAGAAACCACTGCTGTGTTATGAGGTTGCTTTTGTGATGTACAGTTGAAGTCTGAAGTTTACATACACTTAGGTTGGAGTCATTAAAACTCGTTTTTCAAGCACTCCACAAATTTCATGTTAACAAACTATAGTTTTGGCAAATCGGTTAGGACATCTACATTGTGCATGACACAAGTACTTTTTCCAACAATTGTTTACAGACAGATTATTTCACTTATAATTCACTGTATCACAATTCCAGTGGGTCAGAAGTTTACATACACTAAGTTGACTGTGCCTTTAAACAGCTTGGAAAATTCCAGAAAATGATGTCATGGCTTTAGAAGCTTCTGATAGGCTAATTGACATAATTTGAGTCAATTGGAGGTGTACCTGTGGATGTATTTCAAGGCCAACCTTCAAACTCAGTGCCTCTTTGCTTGACATCATGGGAAAATCAAAAGAAATCAGCCAATACCTCAGAAAAAAATTGTAGGCCTCCACAAGTCTGGTTCATCCTTGGGAGCAATTTCCAAACGACTGAAGGTACCACGTTCATCTGTACAAACAATAGTACGCAAGTATAAGCACCATGGGACCATGCAGCCATCATACCGCTCAGGAAGGAGACGCGTTCTGTCTCCTAGAGATGAACGTACTTTGGTACGAAAAATGCAAATCAATCCCAGAACAACAGGAAAGGACCTTGTGTAGATGCTGGAGGAAACAGGTACAAAAGCATCTATATCCACAGTAAAATAAGTTCTATATCGACATAACCTGAAAGGCAGCTCAGCAAGGAAGAAGCCACTGCTCCAAAACCGCCATAAGAAAGCCAGACTACGGTTTGCAACTGCACATGGGGACAAAGATCGTACTTTTTTTGAGAAATGTCCTCTGGTCTGATGAAACAAAAATAGAACTGTTTGGCCATAATGACCATCGTTATGTTTGGAGGAAAAAGGGGGTAGCTTGCAGCCCGAAGAACACCATCCCAACCGTGAAGCACGGGGGTGGCAGCATCATGATGTGTGGGTGCTTTGCTGCAGGAGGGACTGGTGCACTTCACAAAATAGATGACATCATGAGGAAGGGAAACTATGTGGATATATTGAAGCAACATCTCAAGACATCAGTCAGGAAGTTAAAGCTTGGTTGCAAATGGGTCTTCCTAATGGACAATGACCCCAAGCATACTTCCAAAGTTGTGGCAAAATGGCTTAAGGACAACAAAGTCAAGGTATTGGAGTGGCCATCACAAAGCCCTGACCTCAACCCTATAGAAAGGTTGTGGGCAGAACTGAAAAAGCGTGTGCGAGAAAGGAGGCCTACAAACCTGACTCAGTTACACCAGCTCTGTCAGGAGGAATGGGCCAAAATGCACCCAACTTATTGTGGGAAGCTTGTGGAAGGCTACCTGAATCATTTGACCCAAGTTAAACAATTTAAAGGCAATGCTACCAAATACTAATTGAGTGTATGTAAACTTCTGACCCACTGGGAATGTGATGAAAGAAATAAAAGCTGAAATAAATCATTCTCTCTACTATTATTCTGACATTTCACATTCTTAAAATAAAGTGGTGATCCTAACTGACCTAAAACAGGGAATTTTTACTAGGATTAAATTTCAGGAATTGTGAAAAACTGAGTTTAAATGTATTTGGCTAAGGTGTATGTAAACTTCCGAATTCAACTGTATAAAGTAAACCACTTTTTAATCTAGTTTGTTTGTGAAACTTCCACTTTACATATTTGGGGAGTATGGAAAATGTATGCACTCACTAACTGTAAGTCGCTCTGGATAAGAGCGTCTGCTAAATTACTAAAATGTAAAATGTAAATGTCACAAATAGATTAAGTCAATATGTGACCGACAACCTCGATTCGGTGAAATTTGAAATTGTGTTTTTTACATTGGATAAAAGTAGAGACTCAGAGCTAGAAAATTGTATATTATACACTACAGCTGAGGAACAATTGGAAAGTAATTCTACTTTGAAAGTTGATCAACTTGTATCCCCACTTTTGAGAAAATGGTCCTTGAATATTTTGGTACACCTACTGGAGAGCTCTTCTTTGTCTACACCCATTCAGCATCGTTCACACCCTCTTAAGCCTTAGCCCCACCCATCTCTTTAATGATTCACATGTGAGGCCATGTGGTAAACACACGCTATATCAAATAAAATGTAAGTTTATTCGTCACATGCACAGGATACAGAAGGTGTAAATGGTACAGTGAAGTGGTTACTTGCATAGTAGCAATATCAAAAACAGAAAGTGTCCAGATAAAAATATTTCATTATTAGATGACGCTTACCTGACACACTTGTCTAAATTGATGGGTCATGTGAAGGAAATGCTATAACCACCCCCCAGCCACATCTAGCTAAGTGGATGGGTCACTATTGTCTAGACATATACACATGTTCATGAAATACAGTAGATGGCCGTAATCACCCCCAGACACACCTGGCTAATTTGATGGGTCATGTAATAATCCAGCCGAAGTGGAGTCTTTTGTTTAGACATGTAGCTAGCTAGGTAGCTAGCTATCTAAACAATGAACCGGCATAATCTCAACTCATACTACTGCCAATACAAACATTGTCATAGCTGTAGTATGAATCTGCAGGTAGCTAAAGCTAACAAACTAGGTTCAATGTTAGCTAGCTAACATTAGGCTATAACTAGCAATGCAAATGTATTTCTGATTCGAATAATATTACTACACAGATCATACACGTAACGTTAGCTAGCGAGCCAGCAAGCTAACGTTTGCTAGCTAACTAACAGTAGGCTTTAACTTGCAATAAAAACGACTTTCTGACAAAATGTGAAACTTATATCTGAAAATGTAGCTAGACTCTTACCCGTATACATGGATGAACGCTTCATGGCAGACTGGAACCATTTAACTCTGTTTTGTTTGTAGCTACATCTTGTTTGGCCAGCATTGTGTCAAGTCACTCAGGTTCACACTGACCGTGGCGTGTGCAGAAAGTAGCCCATCACTTTTTCCAACTGATCTGTCGATAGTACCCGCTAAATTCAGGGCATCAAAGTTGTTGAGAAAAGTAGCATAACTTTTGTAGTTCTCGATGGCTAACGTTATATCTTTAAAAAACGGCGTGGTAGAAAGGACTGTCAACACATACTGAACAGCTCACGTTATAGACAGAAGCATGCTACATGGCAGACCAATCCAAACTCATCTCCCAGCATGTCCAGCCCATCCATTATCTCAGCCAATCATGGCTAGCGGGAAGGTTCCTGTGTTTTACAATTGTATTCGTATTTATGGATGGAATACAAGTTTGTTATTAAGGCACATGAAAGTTCACGTTCCAGAAGGCATTTCTGCCCAACAAGCATTTTGATAAAATATATAAATGTTTACGTTCAAATTACGCTCCTGTGAAGTAGTGACGTGCGACATACGCCTAGTTTCCTGAAACTAGTCACATTTTGCTGTCACGATAAGTAGCCTATACTAGAGAAATGTGAAGTTTGCAATGAAATACTGTAAGTCTGCTTATATTGACTACAATGGATGGTTACAATTGATAGTTACAACATTCAAAGTAGTTGTAGTAGTAGTTCTAAGGGTACGGTAATAATCCAAAAGTACACTCTTAGAAAAAAGGGTTCCAAAAGGGTTCTTCGGCTGTCTCCATAGGAAAACTATTTTTGGTTCCATGTAGAACCCAGCTCTAAATCGTCCCTGATTTGTATTTCCGTCATGTGCCTTTTAACCATTGTTGCTCGAGTTCCCTTGGTTTTTCACTGAGTCCATACAACCAGCTACAAGAGAGACGGCTCTCTAGTCATATCTGCTTTCATTACCTTTTGGAAATGACTTTTAGTGTTTCAATAGGATCTCAAACATGAGTCATTCCTTATGAAACCAGGACAAAATAATTGCAGGATTTTCACGAAATTGAATACATAGAATGGTCCTTTGGAGGAAGGATTTTTGACATATTTTTGACATTTGTATCTAAAAGCATATAATAATTATAATTATTCATCAAAGTTGGCATATTTATGACATTTTTACCCAGGCCTCCTTTAAGACAATGTTTCATCTGTAGGTGCTACAAAGCAAAAATTGGTGTCATATGAAGCTTTACTGCATGCTCTGTAATACAAGTAATATTTAAATGTCTATCTTTTTATTTTACCAACAGAGTGAATGTGAAAATTGATTCAAAGTGGTGGCCCTCTGCTGGTGATATGCAGAATGTGCAATTATACAAGTAAAAGGAGGGTTGTGATTGGTTACATTGCCTACTATGCCATATTCTCTGCATAAAATTGGCCAGAACTTTAAAAATACCAGAGATCGCACTCTGGAATTTTGATATGTCTGTAGAGTATATTATGTTCAACAATATATAGAAAAAATTGCCAGATTTAAAATTGTGTTTTTTCTGTATTCATGTACACTACCAGTCAAAAGTTTGGACACACCTACTAATTCCAGGGTTTTTCTTTTCTTTTTACTATTTTCTACATTGTAGAAAAATAGTGAAGACATCAAAACTATGTAATAACACATATGGAATCATGTAGTAAACAGAAAAGTGTTAAACAAATCAAAATATATTTTATATATGAGATTCTTCAAATAGCCACCCTTTCCCTTGATGACAGCTTTGCACACGCTTGGCATTCTCTCAACCGGCTTCATGAGGTAGTCACCTGGAATGCATTTCAATTAACAGGTGTGCCTTGTTAAAAGTTAATTTGTGGAATTTCTTTCCTTCTTAATGCGTTCGGGCCAATCAGTTGTGTTGTGACAAGGTAGGAGTGGTATACAGAAGATAGCCCTATTTGGTAAAATACCAAGTCCATATTATGGCAAGAACAGCTCAAATAGCAAAGAGAAATGACAGTCCATCATTACTTTAAGACATGAAGGTCAGTCAATCCAGAACATTCCAAGAACTTTGAAAGTTTCTTCAAGTGCAGTCGCAAAAACCATCAAGCGCTATGATGAAACTGGCTCTCGTGAGGACCGCCACAGGAAAGGAAGACCCAGAGTTCTGCTGCAGAGGATAAGTTAATTAGAGTTAACTGCACCTCAGAAATTGCAGCCCAAATAAATGTTTCACAGAGTTCAAGTAACAGACACATCTCAACATCAACTGTTCAGAGGAGACTGTGTGAATCAGGCCTTCATGGTTGAATTGCTGCAAAGAAACCAGTACTAAAGGACACCAATAAGAAGAAGAGACTTGCTTGGGCCAAGAAACATGAGCAATGGACATTAGACCGGTGGAAATCTGTCCTTTGGTCTGATGAGTCCAAATTGGAGATTTTTGGTTCCAACCGCCGTGTCTTTGTGAGACGCAGAGTAGGTGAACGGATGATCTCTGCATGTGTGCTTCCCACCGTGAAGCATGGAGGAGGAGGTGTGATGGTGTGGGGGTGCTTTGCTGGTGACACTGTCTGTGATTTATTTAGAATTCAAGGCACACTTAACCAGAATGGCTACCACAGCATTCTGCAGAGATATGCCATCCCATTTGGTTTGCGCTTAGTGGGATTCTAATTTGTTTTTCAACAGGACAATGACCCAAAACACACATCCAGGCTGTGTAAGGGCTATTTGACTGAGGAGAGTGATGGAGTGCTGCATCAGATGACCTGGCCTCCACAATCACCCGACCTCAACCCAATTGAGATGGTTTGGGATGAGTTGGACCGCAGAGTGAAGGAAAAGCAGCCAACAAGTGCTCAACATATGTGGGAACTCCTTGAAGACTGTTGGAAAAGCATTCCTCATGAAGCTGGTTGAGAGAATGCCAAGAGTGTGCAAAGCTGTCATCAAGGCAAAGGGTGGCTATTTGAAGATTCTCAAATATATATACACTGATTTGTTTATCACTTTTTGCTTACTACATGATTCCATATGTGTTATTTCATAGTTTTGATGTCTTCACTATTATTCTACAATGTAAAAAATAGTACAAATAAAGAAAAACCCTTGAATGAGTAGGTGTGTCCAAACTTTTGACTGGTGCTGCATATATTTTCAATATTCATAAATTAATGTTTAAAATAAATGGTATGGAGCAAGCGGTAAAGCTTCATATGCCACCAATTCTTGCTTACTCGTACCTACAGATGAAACATTATGTCGTAAATATGCCAAATTAGATTCAAATGTCAAATATAGTGTACAAAACATTAGGAACATCTATCAGTGTAGATTAAGGGGAGGAGACAGGTTAAAGAAGGATTTGTAAGCCTTGAGACAATTGAGACATGGATTTTGTATGTGTGCCATTCAGAGTGTGAATGGGCAAGACAAAATATTTAAGTGCCTTTGAACGGGGTATGGTAGTAGGTGCCAGGTGCACTGGTTTGAGTGTGTCAAGAACTACAACGCTGCTGGGTTATTCACGCTCAACAGTTTCCCGTGTGAATCAAGAATGGTCCACCACCCAAAGGACATCCAGCCAACTTGGCACAACTGTGGGAAGCATTAACGTCAACACGGGCCAGCATCCCTGTGAAACACCTTCGACACTTTGTAGAATCCATCCCGCCGACAAATTGAGGCTGTTCTGACGGAAAAAGGGGTTGCAACTCAATATTAGGAAGGTGTATGTCAACATCCCTCCAAAGGACCATTCTATGGATTTCTGAAACCATGGTCTTTTTTTGTCCTGGTTATTTGAGGAATCACTCACATGTTCAAAAAAATAAAATAATGATAAGGCTGCAGGTAAAGATTCTTGTTAGTGAATCATCTCTCTCCTTTACTCTGCTCTCTTCTCTGTTCTCATTTTTGTCTTAGTGTCCCGCTGTGGATCCTATTAAAATATGCATTTAATATTTTGTGCTGTCAATAGCATGGCAACTCTACAACAAATCTGTTCTGCTTCAACTAAGATAATTGCTCTCTGCAAATGTGCTTGTAGAGAATTCAATCTTCCAGATAATTACGTTTTTATTCATGAAATAGTTGTCATTCAAACTACAACATGGATATAGGAATGGATGTGATATGAAGGTATTGATGTAATTGTATGTTTTCATCATTTATCAATCACTAATATAGTATTTATAATCCCTATATAACCCAGTGAGGGCTATCAAATTATTATTGATCCTGATAACAACAGTTGTCTGTTCTTTAATTCTTGTCAGACGGACCATCATGGAGGATGGAACTCTCCGTATCAGCAACATCAGCGAATCAGACGGAGGGAGGTACACCTGTGTGGCCAGGAACCCCTTTGGGACATCAAGCAGTACTGGCACTCTGGTGGTGAAAGGTACTTTTCCGGACACAGATTTCACTACCTTTTAAGCAGATGGTTTAAACCTGTTTAGAGAAAAAAAATACTAAGCCAAGCATGAAATTGATAATGAAATGTATAGTTGTTTTATGTTCCTGCTGGTTTGACAGAAACATAACTCATCCTTGGTTTTGTCAGCTGTGAGTTATTGTTCACACAGCGGAGGGTAGAAAATCCCTATATCTATAGTAGTGAGGAGAGAGATGTTCTGTTCCATCCAAGTCAGACATTGCATGTTAATTTAAAAAGAGCTGCTGCTGCAGTTTTCGATTTGGCTGTTTTAATAACTGATGGTTATACATGGATTATTCATTTTTTTCTTAATTTGACACAATGATTGCATTTAGTTGAATTGTTCAGTCTCAAGACTATATCAATAAAAAAACACATGTAATAGGGTTGAGAGGAAGAGAAGTGGAGCAAATTAAGATCAATTTGTTACATTAATAGCAGGGGAGGTTGCCTCTGCATTGAACCATCTTGTCTAAAGTATATTTTGTCTAGCAGCAAGTTTATATGAATATTCAAGACATGTAGCATGGGTCCAGTTACACATGATTCTGTGTGTTTGTTTTTCTGTGTTCTCAAATAGAGCCAACCAAGATAATAGTTCCACCGCTGAGTGTGGATGCCACTGTGGGAGAGAGCATCGTGTTGCCATGTGAAGTGTCTCGAGACTCCTCCCTGGATCCCACCTTTAGGTGGTTCTTCAACGGAAAGCTCATCGATTTCAACCGACAGGACCACTTTGAGATGATAGGAGTGGTATGTACCTACTATCTGTACTGTACAGGAGACAGCACACAGTAGTCTCTGCTCACAAGCTTCATAGCTTGTACTGTAAAGCTACACCTTATATGAACATGTTAGAATATTTACAACCTCCGCACACAAGCATCCTAAATTGTACAGTAACAGTACACCAACACCTACAGGGCATTCAGAAAGTATTCACACCCTTGACTTTTTACAACCTACATTTAAAATTCATTAAGTTGAGATTTTGTGTCACTGGCCTACACACAATACCCCATAATGTCAAAGTGGAATTATGTTTTTTGAAATTTTTACAAATTAATAAAAAAGGAAAAGCTGAAATGTCTTAAGACAATAAGTATACAACCCCTTTGTTATGGCAAGCCTAAATAAATTCAGGAGTAAAAATTAGCTTAACAAGTCACATAAGTTGCATGGACTCAATAATAATGTTTAACATGATTTTTGAATGACTACCTCATCTCTGTACCCCACACATACAATTATCTGTATGGTCCCTTAGTCGAGCAGTGAATTTCAAACACAGATTTAACCACAAAGAGCAGGGAGTTTTTTCCAATGCCTCGCAAAGAAGGGCACCTATTGGTAGAAAAGCAGACATTGAATATCCCTTTGAGCATGGTGAACTTATTAATTATACTTTGGATGGTGTAGCAATACACCCAGTCACTACAAAGATACAGGCGTCTTTCCTAACTCAGTTGCCGGAGAGGAAGGAAACCGCTCAGGGATTTCACCATGAGGCCAATGGTGACTTTAAAACAGTTACAGAGTTCAATGGCTGTGATAGGAGAAAACTGAGGATGGATCAACAAAATTGTAGTTACTCCACTGTAACGATCTCGGCTCGACAGACGCTGGGAGACGGGAAGCAAGTACAGGGTGATGATTTAATAAATAAAAGACATGGAACAAAACACAGACAGCGTCTGGACAGGAGAAACGTAACGACATTAATGCAGACACGGGGATCAAACTGGGGAACAGACAGATATAGAAGGGGCAATCAACAAAGTGAAGGAGTCCAGGTGAGTCCAATGAGCGCAGATGCGCGTAACGATGGTGACAAATGTGCGTAATGATGGGCAGCCTGGCGTCCTCGAGCGCCAGGGAGGGGGAGTGGGTGCAGGCGTGACATCCACAATACTAACCTAAATTACAGTATTAAAAAGAGGAAGCCTATACAGAATACAAATATTCCAAAACATGTATCCTGTTTGCAGTAATGCACTAAAGTAAAACTGCAAAGAATTTGGCAAAGAAATTAACTTTATGTCCTGAAAGCAAAGCGTTATGTTTGGGGCAAATCTAACACAACACATAAAGCATGGTGGTGGTGGCTGTATCATGGTTATGGGTATGCTTGTCATCGGCAAGAACTAGGGAGTTTTTTGGGGGATAAAAAGAAACGGAATAGAGGTAAGCACAGGAAAGGTCCTAGAGGAAAACCTGGTTCAGTCTGCTTTCCAACAGACACTCTGAGACAAATTCACCTTTCAGCCCAAAACACAAGGCCAAATATACACTGGAGTTGCTTACCAAGATAACATTGAATTGTTCCTGAGTGGCCTAGTTACAGTTTTGAATTAAATTGGCTTGAAAATCTATTGATGTCTCGTAATGATAAATAACCAATTTGACAGAGCTTGAAGAATAAAAAAAATATTATACTTGCAAATATTGTACAATCCAGGTGTGCAAAGCTCTTAGAGACTTACCAGAAAGACTCCTTCCTAGCTGTAATCGCTGCCAAAGGTGATTCTATCATGTATTGACTTAGCGGTGTGAATACTTAATGTAAATAAAATATTTCTGTATTTCAGTAAATTTGCAAAGATTTCTAAAAACATGTTTTCACTTTGTCATTATGGGGTATTGTGTGTAGATGGGTGATTTCAAAAAAAATATTTTATCCATTTTGAATTCAGCCTGTAACAACAAAATGTGGAATAAGTCAAGGGTTATGAATACTTTCTGAAGGCACTTGGGGTCAGACAAGAAAATTGCATTTAACATGGAGACCTGGCCAGGTAAAACCTGTGGACATTAAGATGAAAACCCCCAGTCTGTTGCTGATCTTATGAGTAAATCACCTGACACTCCAGTGAACAAAGGCACACAAATCTGTCTGACTACAGGATTTATCCTCTGGTCTGCTGAGCACACAAATACCCTGCACTAAAATGGCCTGTATAACACTGACATTTTCACTGTGAGCATCATTTGGCAGAGCTCTTAAACTTCAGGAAGTTTTTTTTTTTTAACACAAGGAGTGTTGATATCATTGTCACTCCAGTGTTCCTACCTGCTCTTTTCTCTCACTGTTGTACGTAGCCTGACCTAGGTCTTTCTGCTACTGCAATAGCATACAGGGGATAAAACATCTATCATAATGTATAAGTGGTACAAAAGTTGGTACACAGCTGGAAAAATATATATTGAATGACTGTATTTTGAGACACTAGTATTGTTTTTTTATTTCTGTTCTATTGTCATCAGGGATCAGCTGGTGATCTGATGGTCAGGAATATTCAGCTAAAGCATTCTGGGAAGTATGTGTGCATGGTACACACCGTGGTGGACAGTGTCTCAGCAGCAGCCGACCTGATTGTCAGAGGTACGCACGCACTTCCTCCCTGTGATGATACTTTGTATTACAGGCACGCTGTAGCACCCATAAAGATATACCATATCTAGGGTAGCACCCATCTAAAGAGGAATTAGACAACCTCAGACATGATCACCCTTTCTATTAATTCGCTTTACTTCAGTCAACTATTCTGGGTGACATTCATTCAGTGTTAAATAATGACTACAGGAGCATCTGAAAATCAATGCATAAATCTTCCTCTTCTCCTTCATTTTGGAATCCTTTTTTGTTTCCCCTCATCAACTGAAGGATCTTTAGCTCTGCTGTGTGAAATATTAAATGTCTCTCTCTTTTGTGGGCAGACTTGTCTGCCTTGCATGAAACTGCTCTAACCGTACCATCCTGTTTTGGCTGACACAATAGAATTCTTTGACAGTGGTTGTCCTTGTCTCCCTGTTCTGTCCCTGTGCTGCTGGTTATTTCAGGTGCCCCCGGTGCCCCAGAGGGCCTTATTGTGGGGGAAATCACTGACTCCACTGTCCAGCTCTCCTGGGAGTCTGGGCCTGACAACCACAGCCCTGTTATCACATACAGCATCCAGGCCAGGACCCCCTTCTCCATTGGCTGGCAGGCCGTCAGGACAGGTAGCTACAATGCCAGCCCATCCTTCACGGACACTGTTTACAGATGTAGGATCTTAATTTGATCTGTTGCAGGAGAATGTTCTTGCAATGCAGGAAATGTAAAACTTGTAGTGTATTTGAGGTTTAAAAAGGCTTCTGAAGTTAATTTGTAATTTCCACTTTAAAATGTCTATACTATCAGAATACTGTGGGAACAGTTAGATTTGGGGATGAATGATGTGAAGAGGAGTATTTATTTTTAATCATTCGTTATCTTTGGGGCCTTCATGGATAAGTTATATTAACATGAATTGTATCACAGGCAGTCTTTGATAACATGAATGTGTTTTGTTGTTGGATGAGAATTAATATGTATTTAAATTCTAAATTCTTTAATCCTAGTTCCTGATTCTGTGCCTGGACAGATGTTTCATGCAACGGTGATAGATTTGAATCCCTGGGTGGATTATGAATTCAGGGTGGTGGCTATCAACAATGTGGGTGTTGGAGAGCCCAGCATGCAATCCAAGCAGATTCGAACAAAAGGAGCAGGTACATTCTCATTCCTCTTTCTTCTTGTGGTGAATCTATCAACCCCGCAGTGGAAATGTAATTTAACGGTGATTAGTTTCATTTTGCATTGAGTGTTCCGTACAGCCCCTGATGAATTTCACCATATAGAACCCACATTCACTTTTCAAGCCAATCCATTGGTTATTGTGCCTTTCTCATCGCTAAATACGTCTAATGAAGACAGAATCAGCTCTGTTCCAATTTGACTGACACAGAGACAGATGTTAATGATTTGCCTAATAGGAAAAGAAAGTGAGAGATAATTTATTCATGTATTTAGACCACATGGCCTATCTATCCATGTGGATATTGACACTTGAAACTTTTGCTCATCAGATTAGGAGGCATCATACCTTTTAAGCATTTAGATGCTGTGTACATCAGCACTCAGGAAATCCTGCCATTATGTCTAATGAAGACAGAATCAGCTCTGTTCCAATTTGACTTACACAGAGACAGATGTTAATGATTTACCTAATAGGAAAAGAAAGTGAGAGATAATTTATTCATGTGTTTAGACCACATGGCCTATCTATTCATGTGGAAATTGACACTTTAAACTTTTGCTCGTCAGATTAGAACTATCCGAGCAGGAGGCATCAAACCTTTTAAGCATTTAGATGCTGTGTACATCAGCACTCAGGAAATCCTGCCATTATTAATTCATGTCAGCAGCATCAACAGGCGCTGTGTGAAATACCCACGCATGCCATAAGGCAATGACTTGAAAGTGTCTATTTTGAGTGGGTTATCAGAGTGGTTCTGCCTGGCTCACTGAATCACAAGGGAGGAGTACTCCTGCAGTGTGATACACTGTAGTAACAGCAGTAGCATGCACTGGCGCTCGTGCCACTATCAACCCTAATTTAATTACATATAAAAACCAAGCCTTTGCTCTGTGAATGTAGGAAACCGTATTGGAATTAGGGGCACTATGATAGTGATATCAAGGCTTCTGTATGGTTTCGGAGTAGTAGGGATTCAAATTCATGCCTTTTCTCCAAGGAAAACACACCCTGATATTGGACACTGTTGTTGTTTTTGTCCGTCCAGTTCCTGAAGTAGCACCAGGTAATGTGAGTGGAGGAGGAGGAAGGCGAGGAGAACTAGTTATCCAATGGGAGGTAAGCTTGCTGATCATCACAGACTTATAGAATACGTCTTTATTGTGACAGATTGTTTTCTAATCACTCTTCTTTTTTACTTTTTTTTTGTATTATTTATTTGTTTTCCCTTGTAAACTCAGCAAAAAAAGAAACGTCCCTTTTTCAGGACCCTGTCTTTCAAAGATCATTTGTAAAAATCCAAATAACTTCACAGATCTTCATTGTAAAGGGTTTAAACACTGTTTCCCATGCTTGTTCAATGAACCATAAACATTTAATGAACATGCACCTGTGGAACGGTCGAAACATAGGACACTAAAGAGGCCTTTCTACTGACTCTGCCACGTGTAACAACACCTGCACAGGATCGGTACATCCGAACATCACACCTGCGGGACAGGTACAGGATGGCAACAACAACTGCCCGAGTTACACCAGGAACGCACAATGCCTCCATCAGTGCTTAGACTGTCCGCAATAGGCTGATAGCGGCTGGACTGAGGGCTTGTAGGCCTGTTGTAAGGCAGGTCCTCACCAGACATCACCGGCAACAACGTCGCCTATGGGCACAAACCCACCGTCGCTGGACCAGACAGGATTGGCAAAAAGTGCTCTTCAATGACGAGTCGCGGGTCTGTCTCACCAGGGGTGATGGTTGGATTCGCGTTTATCATAGAAGGAATTAGCGTTACTGTCACGTTCGTTCATCGACGGGTCAGACCAAGGCGCAGCGTGATATGCATACATGTTTATTAAATGAATAAACACAACGACAAAACAATAAACCAACGATACGTGACGTCCTAAGGTACACACAACAAACCTCACACGGAACAAGATCCCACAACCCACTAGTGCCAATAGGCTGCCTAAGTATGGTCCCCAATCAGAGACAACGAGCGACAGCTGCCTCTGATTGGGAACCACACCGGCCAACATAGATCTAGACATACTAGACTATAAACATAGATCTACACCACATAGAAAATCACACCCTGACTCAACAAATAAGAGTCCCCAGAGTCAGGGCGTGACAGTTACACTGAGGCCTGTACACTGGAGCGGGATCGATTTGGAGGTGGAGGGTCCGTCATGGTCTGGGGCGGTGTGTCACAGCATCATCGGACGGAGCTTGTTGTCATTGCAGGCAATCTCAATGCTGTGCGTTACCTCCTACCTCATGTGGTACCCTTCCTGCAGGCTCATCCTGACATGACCCTCCAGCATGACAATGCCACCAGCCATTCTGCTCGTTCTGTGTGTGATTTCCTGCAATACAGGAATGTCAGTGTTCTGCCATGGCCAGCGAAGAGCCCGGATCTCAATCCTTTGAGCACATCTGGGACCTGTTGGATCAGAGGGTGAGGTCTAGGGCCATTCCCCCCAGAAATGTCTGGGAACTTGCAGGTGCCTTGGTGGAAGAGTGGGGTAACATCTCACAGCAAGAACTGGCAAATCTGGTGCAGTCCATGAGGAGGAGACACACTGCAGTACTTAATGCAGCTGGTGGCCACACCAGATACTGACTGTTACTTTTGATTTTGACCCCCCCTTTGTTCAGGGACACATATTCAGTGGAACCTGTTCAGTTTATGTCTCAGTTGTTGAATCTTATGTTCATGCAAATATTTACACATGTTAAGTTTGCTGAAAATAAACGCAGTTGACAGTGAGAGGACGTTTCTTTTTTTGCTGAGTTTATGTCAAAGACAATTACAAAATAAAATACCTACAAATATGTTCAGTTCAAATCACTCTTCTGACATGAATGGGGTTTTGACAGAATTCTCTACGGCGATGCGACTTCAATTAAATGGGTTTTAATTAAAAGAAGAGCTGTCTTGCCTAGCTATTTGCCTCTTCCAAACAGCTCCCCTGGTGTGTAAATGAAAATGCAGATGCGGAGATGATGGAAATTGTTTGTGCATAAATCTAGGACGAAGTCTTAGAATGGGTGTATCTGTGGCTCTCTTAAAGGGAATTGACTTATCATGCAGAATGTGTATATACTGTGTATACCTTTTGGATATAATGTATTATCATGTTGGTGTTGTGGTATTTCACTGTTCCGAATTTGACACTTCCAGTTGAGGTAGTAATTTGATATTCAGTTCAACCAATGGGAAGGGATAAGAATTACTACAATTTATGCTGTCAAATTGTCTCTGTCTCATAGCCGATACCAGAGGAGCTACAGAGTGGAGAAGAATTTGGATATGTTGTGGCTTTTCGTCCTCTTGGTACAAGCACGTGGAAGCAGACTGTGCTGGCTTCACCTGATGCATCAAGATACACCTTCAGGAACGACAGCATCCCACCCCTCTCCCAATTTGAGGTGAAAGTTGGAGTCTACAACAACAAAGGAGAAGGCCCATCTAGCCATGTGGTTGTAGTGTATTCTGCAGAGGAAGGTTAGTTATTTTGACTATTTCTCAAGTTGCTGATGAAATGGAAGCTTTGGGTTAGTTTGACTTTAATGTTTAACATTCTTGATAATGTCCTTGGTCTAAATTTGTAATGCTTAGAGCCCTCTGAACCCCCGTCCAGAGTGTGGACCCGGACTCTGTCAGCCTCTGAAATCGAGGTGTATTGGGAACCCATCACCCAGACAGCCAGCAGTTGGAAGATCATTGGATATGAGGTATGAAAAATATCCCAAGAATCATGATGCTGGTACAGAGCAGAAAACAGCATGATAGATACAGTATTATCCTCACGATGATTGACTCAGCAATAGGTTGGCATGCATTTAAATAGAACTGCCAATGGCAAAAACGTGAAGTTCCCCTACACCGAAAAATACCTTGGGATACAAAGGTATATTTCTCACCATCTAATCTAGAGAGTGAAGAGGTCTGTCCACAGCTGTTCCAGTCTCCCAAGGAGCCTAATACCCTGGCTGCTACTCTGCCTGAGTAGTGTTCTATAAATCACCCCTCACAAGTGTGAACATCATATATCAATTTCCTCCACAACTAACACTGTCTCTAATCTAACCCATTTTCCCCTTAGTATAGCCCAAGACTGTCTGGCTGTAGAGAAGGCCCAGGTTGCTTGACCTCCATTGTGAACCTGTAAGGTCACTCACAGCCCCTGGTTATCAGGTCCAGAATTAAATCATCAAACAACGGTGCTGGAAGTGTCTCTAATGCTGTCGGGAGGTCTGGAATAACCTTAATGTCTTTGGTTCCAGGTCCTTTGTTGGGAGGAGGGGATGCAGGAGAGTGATGCTGAGATGGTGAGGGTCACAGACACTGCAGCTCTTCTCTCTGGGCTCAAGAGCAGTACTGTGTATCTGATCTCAGTCAGGGCCCAGAACAGCGCTGGAGCAGGTCCTTCTAGCCCCGCAGTCAACGTCACCACCAAGAAACCACGTGAGTATTCTCTGAGATGGGACAGCTGTCACATGCAATTTGAGCGTTTTTCTCTTTACAAGTCTGCTTTCACGTGTATGAAGCCTGCATATCCAGTAGAGGTTTATATTAATGGAATTGTGGTGGAATGCAGCAGTATACACTACAACTTCAATGACTTTAGAGCCTCTGTGAATACTTTACATCAACAGCACTGCTGAGACAAAACATAATCCTCTGGGTAAAGTCTTGACTGCATGTTAACTGCAAGACTAACGAATGGAATTGGCTTATGTCATACCTACAAACGTGAATTAGCAGTGTAGTGGGCAGTAATTTTCTATATGTGTATATTGTAAGTACATCATATGCGACTCGTAATAAGACTAAGCAATTATCCTATTAAAATGTTTATCTGACTCCATAAAGATAATTAGCAATATGCAAGAGACTATGGTTGAGTTACAGTAATAGGCAATGATGAAATGTCTGAGAATGGATTCTAAATACAAGTTTATTTAACTACTTTGTAAAATGAATGGATTCATATACAAGGCATAAAGCTTAAGTTACAAGGCATTAACAAGCATTACAAGGCATTATTCTAAGCATGATCAGAGAGAGAGAGAGAAACCATAGCCTGAAAGGCCATGCCCCAAAAGTCCATGAGGTGGAGAGAGAAAGAAAGAAAGAGTATCTCACAACAGCAGGTCAGGAACAAATAAGAGAAAGAACAATGAATCTTAGTATTTTATAAGCATCTGTATTTTTTGGATTCAAAACCTGAGTTGTTGACCAATAGTATTACTGTAAAGTTAACCTCCAATCAGATATCAGACCTACACGATGTAACCTCTGCTTCTCAGAGGTGTGACAATGTGGGATGGCAAGATCAACATAGATAATGTTAAATTCTTAAGACAACACATAGCAAATTATTGCGTACAGTTGATAAGAAGAGTCACTTCTGGGGCTCTTTAATAAATTAAAAAATCGGTGATAAGATGCTGTTCGCCTTGACTACTCAGGGAGAGGAGGCGTGTTTATGAGCTTATCAGAGTTAGACTCAATTATTCAACTACTAACTCTATCACAAAGCAATCAGCTCTCCTCCTTTTGTTATCTTCTAGTCGAGAACCACTGGGCACAGATGTCAATTCAACATCTATTCCACGTTGGTTCAATGTAATTTCATTGAAATTACGTGGAAATAGGGCTGGGCGGTATACCGTATTTTACAATATACCGATATTGATGCACGGACCGGTTTTGGTTTTTACTTTACCTTCTATAACGGTATTTGAATGTTTGGTTTGTTAAATGTGATAAGCCGCGTGTAACGTCCATTTTTATAGTTTACTTCGCTACTTGAGTCATCTCTCTCTGCTCTCTCTCTCTCCATGCCGCTTTCCTAGCCCACCCCGTCACTCAAGGAGCACAAATGTTGTTCCTCGACCACGAGACACTTGCGTTCAGTCTGCATGGTCAATGCAGCATATGCAACAATGTTGATGATAACAATGCAGTTTTCACTTTGCTTCTTAATATAAATCCACTAGCATTCTATAATAACACTATTAGTTTGTGTTTCTTACATCTGCAAACAGCTAGTTTGTATTTTCTTAGCAAGTTGGGCCTAAATCTTGTTAGCTGCTAATGCTAATTGCTAGTTATCTGGCTAGCTAGCTAGCTAATAAATGTACTGAGTCAGAGCAAACGTAATTAGCTATACAGCCTGATAATAACAGTGATGGTGTAGACCTAAATCAGCATGTTGTTTGTGTAACAGTATCTTCTAAATCAAAGAGGAATACGTGAAGCATGAAAATGTTAGCTACATGAAGTAGCTAAGAGAAAACATTCAATGTAGCCAAAGATTACAGGGTCCCCTAGGAAACACATTATCAACACTTTGGTTCCTACCCTGTCACAATAACTCCTCCCTGGCATTTTCATTCATTGTCATGTCAAACAACACTGTGCCTATAGAATTAGAATAATCATTCTATTTCCATGATTCCAACAGTTCACCCAAGTTGTTTTGCACTAAATCGCAAGTAAAATCGCAATTGCAACATTTGGTTAAAAATAAGACCTATATTGTGCCCATATCATGCATCCCTACGTGGCAGTGTGACAATGATCTCAAATTAGTGCAGGAAATGCAGAAATTAATGAAAATGCTGAAAAGTATTTTTGGTTGAAGTTTAATTGAACAGTATAAAACAATCAAAATGGAGAAAGACCCATTGAAATCACTTAGAATGTATGTGTTGCCACCCTAGGGTCACGCACTACTCATAAAGCAAATTTAGAACTTTTATTATTCAAATACATAAAATACTGTCAAATACCGTACATTTTCTTTTTCATACCGTGATATGATATTTTGTCCATATCGCCCAGCCCTACTTGGAAACAACGTTGATTCAACCAGTGTGTGCCCAGTGGGGAGTTCCTTCATACAGCAGTGATTAAGGGGATGTTTAAAGTGAGAAAGTCATTTCGAAGTCATTTCAGCTATTGACGGAATTGTGCATGATTAATTTGTGTGGCTATATGATTGCATATCTTTCAGCACCAAGTCAACCTCCAGGGAATATTGAGTGGAACTTGACAAACTCCAAGATCTTTTTGAATTGGGAGCATGTCAAGGCAATGGGAAATGAGTCTGAGGTGACAGGATATAAGGTGAGTGTTGTCAGTGTAATAGCAGAATCTTTGAAAACTAGGAAACAAATGCAGTTTCTTGGCTTACCTCTACAGCTGTCTTATCTATTAATGACTCCCTGATCACAATAGAAATATAAACCTTTCCAGTGTCACGTATGGATGGTCCATACAACATTTTAAAGACTGTTCCTGGTGATATGACACAAAACAAACCTGTTTCTCCATTGTGCTGGGTTTCCACTGAGTAGGTTTGATTGAACGTCTGCAATGTTTTGATATGGAAACACAAAATGTGTCCTTGTGGATAGTTGTTGAGGCAACACTTTCCCTAATGGCGTCCCTAATGGCAGAACACCCTGATGATACATTCTTCCCTGCCTTTTGATCCCTCTGAACTCTGAATGCTCAGTAGTAAAAAGTGTTTGAACATGCGTAACAGGAAGCGTTTCATGTCATCCTGGGTATCTGAACTCTGGGAGCATTCAGCAGAGGATTATGACTCAGAAAAGGTGCTGGTTTCTTTTAAAGTATTAATTTACAACTGAGCGCCTTTTGCTAATTTATTGATCTGATGTGGCTCAGAGATATGAAAGAGAAGGCGAGGAAGCAGCTGGGTGCCTGTGAAGCTCCACACTCAGACACTAGCCTCCATGGAGCGCCACAGGGGCCACACTAGCACCTCGCACTATAATTTGCAATTCATGTCATCCTCTGGAAAGGGTCTGCAGAGAAATACAAATACAATTTCTTAAGACTATTTGGCTACACCAGAAAATACTTTTATATTTTTTTCTGAAGAGTTTGTCAGTCTCTGAGAAGCAGCTTCTCTTTCCTAAAATAAAAAACAGTACAGTGTCATTATCCGTAAACCACTAATTTCTCATTTACAGTGGGGAAAAAAAGTATTTAGTCAGCCACCAATTGTGCAAGTTCTCCCACTTAAAAAGATGAGAGAGGCCTGTAATTTTCATCATAGGTACACGTCAACTATGACAGACAAAATGAGAAAAAGAAATCCAGAAAATCACATTGTAGGATTTTTAATGAATTTATTTGCAAATTATGGTGGAAAATAAGTATTTGGTCAATAACAAAAGTTTCTCAATACTTTGTTATATACCCTTTGTTGGCAATGACACAGGTCAAACGTTTTCTGTAAGTCTTCACAAGGTTTTCACACACTGTTGCTGGTATTTTGGCCCATTCCTCCATGCAGATCTCCTCTAGAGCAGTGATGTTTTGGGGCTGTCGCTGGGCAACACGGACTTTCAACTCCCTCCAAAGATTTTCTATGGGGTTGAGATCTGGAGACTGGCTAGGCCACTCCAGGACCTTGAAATGCTTCTTACGAAGCCACTCCTTCGTTGCCCGGGCGGTGTGTTTGGGATCATTGTCATGCTGAAAGACCCAGCCATGTTTCATCTTCAATGCCCTTGCTGATGGAAGGAGGTTTTCACTCAAAATCTCACGATACATGGCCCCATTCATTCTTTCCTTTACACGGATCAGTCGTCCTGGTCCCTTTGCAGAAAAACAGCCCCAAAGCATGATGTTTCCACCCCCATGCTTCACAGTAGGTATGGTGTTCTTTGGATGCAACTCAGATGTCTTTGTCCTCCAAACACGACAAGTTGAGTTTTTACCAAAAAGTTATATTTTGGTTTCATCTGACCATATGACATTCTCCCAATCCTCTTCTGGATCATCCAAATGCACTCTAGCAAACTTCAGATGGGCCTGGACATGTACTGGCTTAAGCAGGGGGACACGTCTGGCACTGCAGGATTTGAGTCCCTGGCGGCGTAGTGTGTTACTGATGGTAGGCTTTGTTACTTTGGTCCCAGCTCTCTGCAGGTCATTCACTAGGTCCCCCCGTGTGGTTCTGGGATTTTTGCTCACCGTTCTTGTGATCATTTTGACCCCATGGGGTGAGATCTTGCTTGGAGCCCCAGATCGAGGGAGATTATCAGTGGTCTTGTATGTCTTCCATTTCCTAATAATTGCTCCCACAGTTGATTTCTTCAAACCAAGCTGCTTACCTGTTGCAGATTCAGTCTTCCCAGCCTGGTGCAGGTCTACAATTTTGTTTCTGGTGTCCTTTGACAGCTCTTTGGTCTTGGCCATAGTGGAGTTTGGAGTGTGACTGTTTGAGGTTGTGGACAGGTGTCTTTTATATTGATAACAAGTTCAAACAGGTGCCATTAATACAGGTAACGAGTGGAGGACAGAGGAGCCTCTTAAAGAAGAAGTTACAGGTCTGTGAGAGCCAGAAATCTTGCTTGTTTGTAGGTGACCAAATACTTATTTTCCACCATAATTTGCAAATAAATTCATTAAAAATCCTACAATGTGATTTTCTGGAGAAAGAAAATCTCAATTTGTCTGTCATAGTTGACGTGTACCTATGATGAAAATTACAGGCCTCTCTCATCTTTTTAAGTGGGAGAACTTGCACAATTGGTGGCTGACTAAATACTTTTTTTCCCCACTGTATGTCAAACTACTGGGTCACTTAAATTAGTATTATTGATATCAGATACTCACCATGGTATTCCCTCTCCCGTCTCTAGGTGCTGTACCGTCAGAACTGGCTTGGGAAGACCAGCGTTGTGGAGACCAACAGGACCAGCATGGAGCTGCAGGTCCCCTCTGGTGAGGACTACCTCATTGAGATCAAAGCCTTGAGTGGTGGAGGGGATGGCAGCAGCAGTGGCCCCATAAGGATCCCAAAGATGTCCGGTAAGAGATCACTGTTTTTGGCTTTCACCATTCACAGGATTAACTTTTGGTACAATAGATTCAAGGTTTCCAGAGTGCCTTCAACTAAATTATTTCATAACAATGAATCACCCAGGTACTGTATGTTTGTTGATGAGTGTTGGTCTTTTTCAGGTCTTAACTCAAAGGGCCATTTCAACTCAGCTCCAAGCAAGATTTGTGCAGTTATGTTTTTTATACTTTCAAGGTTAACTTTATAAGACTTAAACATGTAATGCCTTTAATGAACTCTAACTTTCAGAGTCAAGTACTCAACAAAGGATGTGTTTTAGGTGTACTTTTCACTTCTCAAGAATGTGAAATCAACAGCTAACTATTTAGACTATTCAACGCAGCTGCATTGCCTTATTGTATGCATTTTTGTATTAATTTGTCAACTAAGCTTTTGAGTGTTTTATGTCTAGATTTTATGCCGAAAAGATAGGCTTTTACATATGAGAAGATTGTCAAACCTTAGAACAATCCACATGAGATATTTATAAATGGCAGAAATATGAAAGTAATCAAATGAAGGCACAAACGTGCCCCTTAATGATGTTGGTTATGTCCCTCAGTAATTACATATCAAAATGTTTAGTTCCCCATGGCCATGTCAAGCTTCTCTTTAGAATAACATGATGTCCTTTTCTAATGGTAGAGATACAGTACCTTGCCTATGTGTGCCTCATCCCTGTGTTTTGTGTGACCTGTTTGTTTGTTATTGTAAATGTTCTGTAAGAATGATTCAACTGTTGAAACGACCATGGTTCACTCGGAGGTTGTCCTTTAATTCCTTAATGAAGCACAATGACAGTATGATCTGTCTGGTGGCCATCAACATTCAGCAGATTCTGTGAAAAACTATCCCAGTTCTGTGGTATATGGACATTCTTGAGGTTTCACATATGCTATCGTCAACATTTAACAGTATCATCATGGTCAATATGACCATCACAGACATCTTGGCTCAATATGCAGAACTATACAGAAAAACATGTTAATGTGTATTGAAACAGTACCTGGGGAAGATTTTCTCAAACATTTTCGATTAATTCAACTCTTTCTCCATGGTTCGTAATCAATATATTTCAAGTTGTGGCTGAGTTGTGCTTGATAGGTGTTGCATAACTGTTTTAATACTATTGTATTAACAAACAAAAGATATCTCTGTGAGATGTAATTGAGAATGAATAAAACATTTCAAATTGAAATGTCTATTTTAAATGTGTTTCATTTCAGGTGTGTGTACCCTTTTGAAAGTGCCAGGGAGAATGACAGCCATCATTCACAGGAGTCAGTGTGACACCCCTCTGCATTAATAGTTACCATTCAGTTACCATGAACAGGTAGCTCACAACACTGACAGCATGGCTGCTGTGCTTTCCCTTGCCAAGGTTTTATTTTTGAACACAATCAACATTTAACTGAATACTTTGGTTCTTGCTTAGCATAAAATTAACAAATCCAATTCCTGTAGTGTCAGTCCATGCATGCAATTTAGATTGTTTTAATCAGAATTGAATTACCTGATTTCGATTTGATGCACTGCAACTGGCAGTGAACACTGACCCTACTAATGAAAAGTGGCAGTTGCACCCACAAACATTGTCCAGTGCTTTCCATAGCCTAACACATCATGATTACATAATGGTTTAGGGGACTTTAGGGTTAACTGTGCTAATTCTATCGAGAATATCAATGAACCTTACTTGGGTTAGACAAGAACATATTGCCTGGGAATAACTACCTTCATGCTCTTGCTAATATTGCCCTATTATCAGATGCACTGATGTCAAAACATTGAGAAGTATCAAGAGAAAATAATTGCTCCCTTCATGCTAACCCACGGTGGTATTTGTAAGCAGCTCAATACTGCTGAATGTATGTGTATTGTGTGGATGTACCTTCCCCACATGAAACAAATCTCATGCTTCCAATCTATATGGTTGCCTGGAGACAATCCATTCAAAGCCTTGTGCATACTGATTGTTAATTACCAATAGCTCAAGGTTAACCTCTCATGAATACAGAAATTATATAGATTATTTTTCAGATACTTTTAGATTACCTTTGAAATGTTCATGTTTTCAGAGGTCAGGTCCCCTGTATGAGCTCTGTTGAACACTGTACACTGCTAGCATATGATTGAAGGCTCTCATAATTATTTCCAATTATAACAACTTTCTTAGAAAACAAATTAACTTGCAACAGGCAATTAGAATGGTAAACATTCAGTAATAGGAATAGCGGGTGACAAAGGAAATCCACGGAACCGTTTTGAATCAAGCAAAATATTTGTCTAGTTGTTTCCTCCTGACAAACAAAGTTATGTCGAATGCATGATATTGAAATGCTGATTTCTGATATTGTATTTATTTATATTGGATATATTGTACATGTCAACTTTACAAGCGACAAATTCATCAACTCACACACAGGATGTACTTCATAATGTGCCAGGTAACATTTCAAATATGATATTTAGGACAGCAAATGATACAAAAAGTTCTGTGTACCACATGGCAGATGACATTTCCAAGACGAGGCATGACACCAAAGTAGAGTAAGTGCATTCCAGCCAGCCACACATTGGAATAATCTTATCAGGTTGGCTGACAGGTAAGTGTCTGGACGTGGACATTAATCTCCTGAGAACTGCTCTAACTGTGGAGTACCCAGGGATTTCATAGCAGATGCCAGGCCATCTGAAAATAGAAGCAGGTGTAGGAATGAAAGTAGAAGAAGTGTACTTAAAATGTCCTATGTCACGTTATGTTGCACAAAGGTACTATATGTGTCTTAAATAAAACACAGATAATTGATCTGATCTCTTAACTGATTATTTTTCATCACAGTGTACCATCAGTATGTCGATCATGAACTGTGAATTAATAGTAAAGATGTCTTATCGTGGTTATTACTTATTCATATCCTGAGAGGGACATACAATACTATACCTTCAAAAAGGTAGTTGTCACAGTAACACTGTGAAGAGATATGATGCAGACCTCCAGGAGGGGTTATATTCCTCACTGACAGAGTTTAGGTACAGTACCAGTCAAAGGTTTGGACACACCTACTCATTCAAGGGTTTTTCTTTATTTTTACTATTTTCTACATTGTAGAATAATAGTGAAGACATCAAAACAATGAGATAACACATATGGAATCATGTAGTAACGAAAAAACTGTTAAACAAATCAAAATATATTTTATATTTGAGATTCTTCAAAGTAGCCACCCTTTGCCTTGATGACAGCTTTAAACACTCTTGGCATTCTCTCTACCTTCATGAGGTAGTCACCTGGAATGTATTTCAATTAACAGGTGTGCCTTGTTAAAAGTTAATTTGTGGAATTTCTTTCCTTAATGCGTTTGAGCCAATCTGTTGTGTTGTGACAAGGTAGGAGTGGTATACAGAAGATAGCCCTATTTGGTAAAAGACCAAGTCCATATTATGGCAAGAACAGCTCAAATAAGCAAAGAGAAATGACAGTCCATCATTACTTTAAGACATGAAGGTCAGTCAATCCGGAACATTTCAAGAACTTCACTTCAAGTGCAGTCGCAAAAACCATCAAGCGCTACGATGAAACTGGCTCTCATGAGGACCGCCACAGGAAAGGAAGACCCAGAGTTACCTCTGCTGCAGAGGATAAGTTCAATAGAGTTAACTGCACCTCAGAAATTGCAGCCCAAATAAATGTTTCACAGAGTTCAAGTAACAGACACATCTCAACATCAACTGTTCAGAGGAGACTGCGTGAATCAGGCCTTCATGGTTGAATTGCTGCAAAGAAACCACTACTAAAGGACTTGCTTGGGCCAAGAAACACGAGCAATGGACATTAGTCCAGTGGAAATCTGTCCTTTGGTCTGATGAGTCCAAATTGGAGATTTTTGGTTCCAACCGTCGTGTCTTTGTGAGACGCAGAGTAGGTGAACGGATGATCTCTGCATGTGTGCTTCCCACCATGAAGCATGGAGGAGGAGGTGTGATGGTGTGGGGGTGTTTTGCTGGTGACACTGTCTGTGATTTATTTAGAATTCAAGGCACACTTAACCAGAATGGCTACCACAGCATTCTGCAGAGATATGCCATCCCATTTGGTTTGTGCTTAGTGGGATTCTAATTTGTTTTTCAACAGGACAATGACCCAAAACACACCTCCAGGCTGTGTAAGGGCTATTTGACTGAGGAGAGTGATGGAGTGCTGCATCAGATGACCTGGCCTCCACAATCACCCGACCTCAACCCAATTGAGATGGTTTGGGATGAGTTGGACCGCAGAGTGAAGGAAAAGCAGCCAACAAGTGCTCAGCATATATGGGAACTCCTTCAAGACTGTTGGAAAAGCATTCCTCATGAAGCTGGTTGAGAGAATGCCAAGAGTGTGCAAAGCTGTCATCAAGGCAAAGGGTGGCTATTTGAAGAATCTCAAATATAAAATATATTTTGATTTGTTTAACACTTTTTTGGTTACTACATGACTCCATATGTGTTATTTCATAGTTTTGATGTCTTCACTATTATTCTACAATGTATAAAATCGTTTTTTTTTTTTACTGGCCTTCACGACCCAGTCATGCTTTTCTTGGATTTCAATATAGTCCCAACCCCCACCATCCATTGTAAATCTTAAATCATATAGCAGTCTTATTTTTGACAATACTTAAATAGCTGTTAGATAGAGATCAGTTAATTCAAGTAGGGACAGATTAGACATCCCCTCCTAAGGCCATGTAATGAATTTTATGCATAAGAACCAGAGAACATTTGGCCCAGATTTCCCACAGATAGCCACAGAAGTGGTGAAAGATCACTGCATATGCACAAAGGAGTGTCAAGGTTTAGAGGAAGTCCCAGCAAATGCAATATTGAATAATGTTGGTGATAGAAATAGTTTGTCGGAGTTAAAATCAAATGTTGTTTTGAATGGTTGAGATGTGTTGGAATCTGTGATTAATAAAACAGTAAATCGCTCTTAGAATTATGGAAATAACCAAGACCTGATCTCAAGTCCACACAAAACATCTGCAAATATTTGTCAAGGTTTTAAAGAAATATTCAAGAGAATAAGTAGTTGATTTTAAAAAGATGCAGGGCACAGAAGTTCTAAGACCCAGGTTAAAGCACTCATAATCTGCAAAGTGGCACAAGCTACTTGGCCTGCAAATGCACATGAATAGTCAAGGTTCAGTACTGATAAAGCTGGTCTCAGGACTGGGAGCTATGACAGAGACATAATCTTTAAGGTAAACAGGATTAGTACTCAAAGGGAAAGCATTACCTTACCAACAGTGAGATCAAATTGAGTTTAAGTGTGTCAGACACTCACCGTGTGTGGTTGTCTCACCTAGCTATCTTAAGATGATTGCACTCACTGTAAGTCGTTCTCAATAGCAGCGTCTGCTAAATGACAAAAATGTAATGTAAATGTTAGCATGTTCAGTTCAGGACATTGTATGTACCCTATGTATGTTGGATTTTATGTTTGTAAGTGTGTGCAGTACCAAGTCAACTGATGGTTATCATAAATTGAGGAATTTGGAGCCATTGGTTGGCAGAATGGCTCACTTTTAGAAAAATAGTTCCATATAGAATCAAAAAGGGTTCTATTGATTGCTTCATATATGGAACCTCTAAAAGTGATATATGCACTCTTTGGTAGGGTTCTTCTTCACTGAACCGCCATTTATGAATTATGGCTACTACTAATATAATAGTAATATTAATAAGAAAATTATATAATAAATAATGAAATAATGCACAAAATAATACCAACATAGTTTTGAGATTTTATTGTCATTATAGTCACACTCAAACAAACAGTTTAGATATTGCAAACATTGTTTGGAAATATGCACTGGTGGGCAGGGAGGCACTTTGTTTGAATGAAGGCCCATGTCAATCTTGGTAACTCTGGATGCCTTCACAGGGTTCATGCCTTCTTTATGGAAAAGGACTGTATGGGTTATTGCCTGGCTGGTTCCTGAGAAGAAGAAAAAAAGGAGCATAAACTTGAGTCAATCTTATACCTGCAAGAATGAAGGAAAAATGCTATGCAGACATATAATTATTATGATGTAGAAGACCAACTTACATGCAGTTGCTGACATCAGTAGCAATGATATTTGGGTTCAGCGGCAACATAGCTAGTCCCTTTTTCTGAAAAGGGTTCTTACAATTTAACCAAAGAACGAAAAGGTTCTATATAGGTGTGCATATTGTCAAGTCAATCTGTAAGGTCAACTCTGAAGGGTTGATAGATTGAGATTTTGATAGTAGTTGACATTATGGCCAAAACAAAAGTGAACAAATCATTTATTCAAAAATGTAAGTAAAAAAACATATACTTGCAATAAACATTCAAAATGTTATGTGGCCAACTTTGATACATTTTTTTAATGTATACAGTTTAACTCTTTAGAACCCATAGCAGCCGTCAGTGGGCTTTTTAAAAAATACTATAGCGACCGCGAACTGCCTTGTTTTTCAAACAATAATGTCTGTGTCAATATAGCAAAATTAACTTGCAAACAACTTGTCGTAGTATTTGCAGGGCTGTTGTCAGAAACCAGAAACCGGAAACAGGGTATGCTGTCATTTGACTTAAAAAAGAAAGAAAATCACTTAATTACTCAAAATGACGGCGCCGAAGCGGACACGACTTTTCACTGTGAAAGAGGCTGTATATATGTTGGTTGGTGATACAGCTAACTAGTTGGTTGTTTTGTCTTGTTTCTACCGATGTAAATCATATAGAAACGGCCCAAGCTGCTTGCTATAGCTAGCTAGCTAGCCAGTTAGTCTGTCAGGCAAGAAAAGTTGTGTGTAGTGCTCACAAAGCATCAACCTCAGCTGTCACTTTCACTAGCTAGCCATACAGACGATCAGCTAACTAGTCACCAAAATGAAGGTTGGAGTAGTTTGTGTTTATCTGTTGGGCTTAGGTTATGGTTTGTCATGTTTGCTAGGTACAGATATTCATAGGCTATACATTGCCTCGTTTTCCTATTATTTGACAGCTTAGCTGTTGTGTTAGGGTAGATGCCCTCGCAGTAGAGCTCATATGATATTGAGTTGGATATTTGTTTACATAGCCAGCTAACAAGTTGCTTGTTTAGTCCAGCTTCGTAACTAATCAGCTAACATTGGCGAACTCTGTAGTTAGTCTGTCAGGCAAGAAAGCGAGAGTTGATTGGAGGCGAGAGAGAGAGAGAGAGAGAGAGAGAGAGAGAGAGAGAGAGAGAGAGAGAGAGAGAGAGAGAGACTGTGTGAGAGGGAGAGAGAGAGAGTATATGTTCCTGACCACAATTGTCTCCTATTTGTTGCTCCTCTCCCTCTGTTACTCTGTTCCTCTTTGTCAGTGGAAGAGAGGGAAGTGATATGGTGAGTCAGGGCTCAGCAGCAAAAGGCAGGGAGGAACATGAGTTAAGAGATGATTGGAGGGATAGAGATGTGGAGTGAGGAGGAATGGAAGGAGAGGAGAGTGGCGGGAGAGAGGAAGAGGACAGTAAAGAGGGAGAGGAGAGAAGAGGGAGAGAGGAGGAGGAGAGTGAAGAGCAGGGAGAGGAGAGTGGAGGGAGAGAGGAGGAGGAGAGTGAAGAGCAGGGAGAGGAGAGTGGAGGGAGAGAGGAGGAGGAGAGTGAAGAGCAGGGAGACGAGAGTGGAGGGAGAGAGGAGGAGGACAGTAAAGAGGGAGAGGAGAGTGGAGGGAGAGAGGAGGAGGAGAGTGAAGAGCAGGGAGAGGAGAGTGGAGGGAGAGTAACAGAGAAAAAGAGGGAGAGGAGGAGGAAGAGGGAGAGGAGAGGAAGAGGGAGAGAAGGAGGGAGAGGAGTTGGGAGAGGAGGGAGAGGAGGTAACAGAGGGAGAGGAGAGGGAAGAGGGAGGGTAAGAGGGAGAGCAAACCCGAGAGGGGAGCCTACATTTCCATGGAGTGTGTCTGCCCCAAGTCCCACCATTAAAACCTACCATTAAAATTATAGACTAATCATGTCTTTGTCATTGGGCAAACGTACAAAATCAGCAGGGGATCAAATACTTTTTTCCCTCACTGTATATGTTCCTACATTTTTTAAAGCAACTCCAAAACCCCTGCACTGTCAACTGTGGGACCTTATATAGACAGGTGTGTTCCTTTCCAAATCATTTCCAATCAATTGAATTTACCACAGGTGGACTCCAATCAAGTTGTAGAAATATCTCATGGATGATCAATGAAAACAGGATGCACCTGAGCTCAATTTAGAGTCTCATAGCAAAGGGTCTGAATACTTATGTAAATAAGGTATTACTGTTTTTTATTTTTAATACATTTGCAAACATTTCTAAAAACCTGTTTTCACTTTGTCATTATGGGGTATTGTGTGTAGATTGATGAGGGAAAACAAATAATTAAATCAATTTTAGAATAAGGCTGTAACGTAACAAAATGTGGAAAATGGGAAGGGGTCTGAATAATTTGCAAGAACATAATTTTTTGTCATTATTAGTTACTTCTGTCTTTAAATCAGTAATCAGATTCTGGAATTTCAATTGAAAAACACAATTTACTTGTATAATGACGATAACCAAGTGTCTCCCCATTAAATTTTGAGTAATTTTATTAAACCTAGATAAAAAGCATTTAGCTTACTTGCGTATTATGATGATGTTACCTGCCTCAAGCTTCACAATTATTTTTACATTTTGTTCAAGACAACACCTTTCTTTTCGATAATTTGTCGTTACCCTATTGGACATTATGTCACACCGACGGACAATACACAACAGGCAGACACATTTTTACACTTTCCAAAGTTTCTGACCATTGTAAATTGCAACTTCTAAACATCAATAAATGATTAAGTGTATTCATTCCAATCATCCGACTCCCGAGTGGCGCAGTGGTCTAAGGCACTGCATCGCAGTGCTAGCTGTGCCACTAGAAATCCTGGTTCGAGTCCAGGCTCTGTCCCAGCCGGCCGCGACCGGGAGACCCATGGGTGGCGCACAAGTCATCCAAGGTAGGGAAGGGTTTGGCCGGCAGGGATCTGGGTTCAAACAAAAAAACATGCATGCACTAACTGTAAGTCGCTCTGGATAAGAGCGTCTGCTAAAAAAATAAAAAAAATAATTACAAGGCCTCGAAAGTGTCACTACCGAGTCGGAGTGGGTAATTTATGTGCCTGGTGCCTTCCTTGGACGTGGTAGCTGTTTCTTAGGCTTCCTCCCTGGAATCGAACCCTGATTCCCTGTTACCCATAGTCAACATGGCATGCACAGAAAGTATCAATGAAAGTTGATAGGGCACACATTCGAATGAGACGTCAGCGCCACGAAAGGGGTCACCAAAAACATGATGCTGCTGAATGTCATTAGTAGCCTACCAAACTTGCTAACTGCCTAGTACTCAGCACTCTCCCTCTAATCACTCTGACATCAATGCAAATGTAATCAAAAATCAAATCAAACACTTCATGAGAGCCCATGAGCTCATGTTGCGCAATATTACTATAGGCTATGACATTGCACGAGAAAACGGAGTGAAAAAGTGGAGGATCACATTAGCTTTCTATAGGCTAGGCCCACTATATTTATTTCTCAACTTTCCTAATATCAAGAACATTGCTTATCTTTACAACAGGAGAATAGCCTACCTGGCTGGCATGAAAATGAACCACAGGGAAAGCGTCCTCCATTCGCTATTTAAGTGCAGAGATTACATGTATTTTTCCCCTGCCCCTGTTTCGAGACAGGTGCATGATAATGGTCCATTCTAAATCAAAACAAATTTCACACACATATATATGTAAAGACAAGATTAAATCAAGAATAGTCTAATGGGTGACAATATTAGCTTATCACTTGTGAATTATATATTATCACTTGTGAATGATGCCCAGCTTAAGGCAAGAAACAATTGTTTTTTTGTTTTACTTTTTTGAATCATAGTCGCACATCTCATGTAGCCTAGCCCATAGGCCTATATGTTTTGATAAGGTTTGTATCACAGCTAAAGTGGCCAAATAACTTCTTAAAATTAAGCACATTAATCCCCTTTACAACGGGTGTAGAGCCTAACTGGCATACATAAGCAGCGCGTGAGTTTCAAGTTTGGTGAAGATCATTTTAACCATAAAAATGCACCTTTATAATAAAAACATTACATACATAATCACATTTGTGGTCACTTTTGATAATAATTTATCAACATTTTAAGCTAAACGTTTTGATCTGTTGCGTCAGCCTCATTGCGTAAAAAATTAATTTATTGTGAAGGTGTAGGCTATATTACATGGATTTATTCGACTTTTTTAAATGTAGATGTTCCAAAGATCTGCATCAGTGGCTTGTAGGCTGTGTGTGGAAGCCAGGAGATGCTAAATGTGTTTATGTTAATTAACAGTAAATTACTGTGAGACTGACAGTTATTTGATTGACAATCACCGGCTGACAAAATTTCGTGACCCCCACAGCCCTAGTTTTAAGTCTGATAAATGCACTTATCCCCGAAGGTCAGCGCTCGTTGGCATGTATTAGCTCTATAATTTCCTCAGTTATCCAAGTAACGTTGGCACGATCAAAGGAACCATAACTGATTTAATGAGTTTCACTCTACCGGCCATGTGTACTAAGACTTGCATTGCTTCATCTTTGAGACAAGAATATGTTGCTGACAGGATCACTCAGGTAGACCCCCACAACATTGAGGTGTAACTGGCCACAGAGCGAGGAGGAGCCGCTCGAGAGGCGTTCTGTTGGAGGGTTTTTGGAGGATACTACACAATGGAGCCAATGACAGGGTTTGAGAAACACAACATGTCTCTGACGCTGGTATGTATTTTGAACATGTCATGTGTAGAAACATCAGTGTGTAATTATTACAAGCCTCAAAGAGGTACACAGAATGTCTCCAAATATAAACCCAGTGGATATGTATGGTACAGCACTATGGCATTGATTTTGTTTACATAGCTAGAGATATTGCATGAAGGTTTACTTGGAATGCATCCCTGGAGGGAGTGTTTGTGTGCTGTATAAGATATGACCAGAAAGGAATTCCTTCTATTTATCCCACTTCAGCAGTCCTTAAGCTTGTTTTTTCTTTCTTAATCTTGGCTACATAAGAAAATGAAAGTATCTGGAAAATACTGGGATTTGGGTTTTGGAGTTTCCTATAGCAACATGTTGAGGCTTTAGGAAACTACAACTGCTATTGGTTTGACAACCAGAGAACTCCATATAAAAAACAAGCTAAGCTAGAAATATGTTTTAAACATTTATAAGGCTATTCTTGGTGTTCTGAAAGCATCACATTTGGAGTTGAGCCTGTTGGGATCAAATGTACGGCCGCTTGACATTTTCAGTAATTAAAATATGCTTGATAGGAGTGCAAATATCAGTCATGGTTAATTTCAGGCCAAATTTTTACTCAAGGTGTAAAGTCTACCTTTGTAATGTTTTGCTAATGTAGGTGCTCCACTGCAACTTAAAGGAAAACGCTACCCAAAAACTATTTTGGTATTTGTTTCATTAGTCCATTGTTGACATAGTCCCAAAATGTTTTGCATGTCAGCAATCAAGTTTTCAAGATATGTGACTTTCAAAATACAGAAATCATTCCTGTATGATGCATTTTGCACCATATGATGCAAAACACAGCATCAAATGGTATACAATGCATCATAGGGGAGACAGTGCTAAAATGTTTTTTTATAACTACAGCATAACTACAATTGTAATCATTAAAATGCACATTGTCATGCTTCAGACCTATTTTCCTGTGTTACACGTGGATAAGTAAATGTGTTTTGGAAACTAACATCACTCAAAGTCTACTTTTAACAGTCACTTCAATTTTCCAAAGCTTCAATCCCCTTTGAGTTTAAGCTGTCTGCTCTGTAAAAAGGAAACTCAGATTTAAATATGTAAAGCAATTGGTATAACCAGAGCTTGACTCATGGATTGTAACTAATCCCTTTTTCATGGACATTTCATAAGAACCTGTATAAAAAAAATGCCTTCTTTACCTCTAGGAGTTCATAGACTTAATATTACCTAAAGTCAACCTTTACTGATTGTAGAAGCCATTTTGGTCCACGTATATGGTTGGCGAGTTGTGTTGTCTATAGTCTGTATTTGTATATTCCACTTAATTTGTACCCTACAGTAGAGCAGACATTACCTCTCTAGGAGATTTGATTATTGCATGGACATTGGATGGAATCGTTTTCCTGGCTGCAATGGATTCGGCTGCCAAGGAATATTTACCGACGAATGGGAGGAAGGAAAACAAATCTCCTGTGCAAAATGGCATGCTTGTCGACGGTGTATCAAATGACAGTATGTGCACTTCAGCAGAGGGCGATGTAGGACATTCCATAAAAATAAAAAAAACTAGGCTAACAGTTAGTGACAGTTTATTACTGTTATACATTTATGGTGATCTCCAAATAAAGATATGTTGTGATCACACTCAAATACAGATTTATAGTTAATTTGTTTAGTTAATTCACAAGCCAAATGTATGGAGGATATTCAGTGCCACTTTGAAAATTAAATGCTTAAATGGTAAATAGGAATGTGAAAATGATAAATGCGTTCATATTTTTATATCAGTGTGCATGACTCATTCCACAATTCAATTGCAAAGTTAAAATGAAAATAGAAAATAGTTAATACAAAATTTTAAATGGTAAACAGAAATGTTAAATAAACATGGTAAATGGAAAATGCTAAATTCTAAACAGAAATAGTAAATGCAATGTACAAAGTGAAATTAAAAGTGGCTGTTTTCATTTTCCAACTACCCAATTTAGCATTTTCTCTTTTCTATTTCCATGTTAATTTTCAAAGTGTATGCCACCCTTTGCCTTGATGACAGCTTTGCATACTATTGGCATTCT